CAATTTTCGACGGAAAACGCAACGGAACTTGATTTACTCAACACGCACCATACTATAAAATGGTGCTCGATGGTTTATAAAGTGATAAAAAGATGACAAATCATCTTTATTTTGAGTAATTGAGCAATTCACTTCTGTTTACATCATATGTACGATGCAGCATTAATGGAGCTGTGAAATGAAATAAATATAATCACCCCTATTCTGTATTTCGTTTCGAACGAAATTCTCATACAAAAAAATATTTTTTTGTATGAGAATTTCGTTCGAAACGAAATACAGAATAGGGGTGAATATATATCCAGCTTTCCATGCTCGGTAATGGCGGCCTGTTTGTATGAATAAATGTATCCTTCACTATTTTTCCTGCATGTATCCTGCATTTATTTTCAATGTTTTAAAAACAATTTTACATCAACGAGCGCTTGCATCCTCCATTTGTAAAAATGGGTATTTTTTCACCCATTTTACGGTAAACACAATATAAGAAAATGGGTGAAAAAACACCTATTTATTGACAGACCACCCATTTACCCATTTATGAGTAAACCATAGTTTACCCATTAAATGAGGAGGGGCACTTTTAGCGGAAATGGGTATTTTTATACCCATTAATGGGTTTTTGCGAAACACCGTGTACACTACCCATAATCGCATATCAGTCCCATCTTTGCTTGATTTCCTATGCAACAGTAGTAAAGCCCTACAGTAAAAGTATGGACGTCTGTCAAAAGTTGTTCCAATCGAACCGTCAAAACCCTAATAAAAATTGTATGGTTAATTTGCTTAACGACGTGTTCTGGGTATCATCCAAACTATTTGTGGAATAGTTCAATGATTTGGGTTATCGTTCGTTTATGGTTATTTTTTATTAGGGAATGCACCGCTTTGCTCGATTGACGAGTGCACGGATGGATTTGAGTTCACTCACTCGACAAAAAGTGACACAACAGCGGGGCCCTGTTTACTAAAAATGAACAGCTTTTTTCTGTTTTGTGGTGACAGTCGTCCATACTAGAGTCGGTGTATAATGAGTCACGCCAAGAGAAAAACAGTTGAACTCGCATCACGTAGAGTCGGTGTATAATGAGTCACGCCAAGAGAAAAACAGTTGAACTCGCATCACGGTTTTCGGAAGATTGCCATTCTTTTCACTTGGCAACAGAGGACTTCTACAACAACTTCAAATGACTTCTAGCGAAAGAAAAAATATTGCGGCTGTAGTAAATCATTATATGAGTGATTTTGTCAAATTATCTTAACAAAAATTAGTAGAAATTCTCATTACTAATTATTACCGAGCGTATCTCATGACAATTTAACGATCACTGCGTGTTTATGCTCATTTCTTCGATTATATTTTATATTTTATTGCAATACCTTTCGTGAACCTTTCATAGCATCGTAATGTTTATTTACTTTGCACGATAGGTAGCCGGTTTGACAGTTCAATAGGTAGACTTGGCTTCACTCTTGGCGTGACTCATTATACACCGACTCTAGTCCATACTTTTACTGTATAGGGCTTTAAAATGGATGAGTTATTATTGTTTTGAAAAGATCAAAAAGTTGCTTTTGTTTATAATCAGGTAAAAAATACAACATAATATTATATTTTTTTAATGTTCTGCTGTAAGTGACTGATTTCATTGATTTTATCCAAATTGTTCATGTTCAATAACCATATTAAATGTGTATCTTAAAAGAGCATTCTTCATGTGACTTCTGTTTCCAACAGGACAAAATTTAATACAGTGAAACGACCGTGTAATCAAGCCATGATGGTCGAATGCGGAGTTTGTCTTGAGGAATACCCGGAAGGCGAGGTGGAACTGCATCGGCAGATGTGTGTGGTGCGATTGATGTTCCGGTGCGTCATTTGCGACGAAGATTACATGAGCAAGGAAGGACTGTGGAATCATCTTGACCTGCATGAGGTAAGAAGAGATCAAACATGATTAATCCATCAGGCGATCCACACCGAAATGTTTTCCTTGCCTAAAGATTACAGATGAAAGTAAGGAACTGCACTATCAGGAAATAAAAGCAAAACACAAGTTGCACCAATGCGAGCTCTGCAACGACCAACGTGCGTATTTGAAGAGTCACTACTGGAAGCACGTTCAAGTAAGTGATGGATTCCAATACAAATACGATAGTTCAATAAAGGGTTCGCATTATAGGACGTTCACGATGGGTTCTTCCTGCGGTGTTCTGAGTGTGGGGAAAACTTTCGATCTGAAAAGCTTAAGAATGATCATACCCAGAGCCATTGTAAGCTTAGGGATCAAACGGTAACATCGGAATTGGCTGATCGAATGGTCAGTCGCGTAATCTTTCCTTGTGTAGTTGAAAAAACAACTTCTGATGCTGAACAATCGCGAAGAGAGCAGGGCAACAAATCAAATGAAGCAGTTGGTGTAAATTCTCGACTGGATGAGAATTCACCTGTTGATTTGAACGATGTTACCGAAACAAAGATGCTTTCTATTGATACTACTGATAATGATTTGATGCAACCTGTGCTGCCATTCATGTGTGATATTTGCGGTAATACATTTTCTTCTCACTTTAAGGTCCAGTATCATAAGGTATGTATATCATGTTTCACCGCCAAACTTCTCTATCTAGTACCTTCTTTTTTCGTCCAAAATAGAAAGCGATACACGGACGGATATATAAATGTCCTCACTGTCGGAAATTATTTAATATGGAAGATTATCACGCACACTTATTATTATGTGAAAAAAAGAAAAGATATCCATGTGAATCATGTCGTACACAATTCTCAAAGCCATTTTATCTTGCTAAACATATGAGACTGGTTCATCAAGTTATTAGAACTTTGAACAACAAGAAGCAAGATCAACCTCACACGGAGCAAATTAATAAACCAACAGAAACAATTACTAGTTCTGGTAAACAAACAGCAGATACTAGTGTGATTGAGCACTCAGCACCTGCTAATTTTAATGCAGTTCAGGATACAGATTGTAATGTAGTTGAGAAGAGCATCGCAGAGACGAGCTTGCAGCTACTTACTGATAATTCAACAAGAAGATCATCCGCGATAAAATGTGACCACTGTGACAAAAAGTATAACAGTCGTAAAATTTTAGGTGCTCACTTCAGAAAACATCATAAGCCGATAAAGTGTAGCATCTGTGGAATCACCATTTATGGTGCGCAGAAAGTTTTATATCATAAGGTTGGTCTGCTACAATGATTAACACGCCTGACAGTCAGGACTCTTTGTTTCAAAAGCTAATTGCGAAGCATGGCGATGTATGAAATAATTTGCTATAATATTGTTTTTTTTTTATCGTAATTTAGTTGACTCACGAGGAGCTACCATACAATTGTGCTACATGCAAGAAAAAATTTGGTTCGAAATTGGATTTTGAGGAACATGTTAGTAATTGTGTTCCTGAACAGATTGACTCTCCTAAACTTACTTTGAAAGACAGGAGTGACCCAAAAGTAGCGAAGGAGAAACCTTCGGGTAAGGATTGTCCCCAATGTGGAAAAAATGTGCGTGATGCTGTTGCCCTAAAACGTCATATCCAACACAGCCATGTGCCAACAACATGTAATATCTGTGGAATTAGTTTCCCCAGTTTTTTGCGGGTGCGATATCATAAGGTTTGTGGACTAAATAATGCTAATCCTTTTTTAAATTTTATCTATGTGTTTATCGTTTAATACAGGCTGCAATTCACAAAATAGCGAAGCACAAATGTCCTCGTTGTTCGAAGACTTTTCTCACGGAAAAACGACTTAAGATGCATATATCCATATGTGTTGACCGGAATTGTGAGTTTTGTCTCAAAATTTTCAAACATCGATGCTCTGTCAGTCGCCATCAGAATGGAGCTTGCCGTGTCAAACGACGTTTGGAGAAGAAACAGGAGAAGCAGCGGCTTCTAATGGAGAGAATTTCACTCTTCCGTAGTTTACATTCAAACTTAAACAGTATGCATCAGAAAACAAATCGCCAAGATAAGAGCAATTTGAGGAATGTCCCAGAACAATCACTGGTAAATCCATCCATCATAGTTGATAAAGCCAGCCTTAACAAAAATCCGAATGCTAAAGAAGTAATTTGTTCAAGTGGACAGAGCAATGCAATTGTTCCCGAAGAAAATGATTATCTAGTTAGCTCTCGAGACAGTCAATCATTTGCTGATGATACGGATAGTCATATGATCAACAAGGAATCCAGTGTGCTCTATGTTGCTTCTATGAAAGCTAAACGTGATAGTTTAGAGAAGCCATGTATTGAAAAGCTATCAGAGCACCAATATCGGTGCCCCATCTGTGATATTATTTGGCCTAGTTATCGCAAAGCAAGGTATCATGCGGTATGTTGGTAAAATTGACGTTCTTGATTTCTGTTTGTAATACCTACTTTCTTTTTCGTTCAATTCAGCTGACGAGGCACATTACATCGAAGCTCCAATGTTCCTATTGTTTGAAGCAATTTCATTCTAAATCAATGTTAAAAATACATGCGATAAGTTGTGTACAAACGAAATATCCATGTGATTTGTGTGGTAAAAAGTATAAAAACGCGACCCGTGTCGAGGTGCATAAGATTCTAGTGCATGGTATTAACGATAACAAGCCTTTTAAATGGAAAAATCGCGATGCGAATAGCAAAGGCACTGATGACCATAACAAAAACAGTGTTGGGATGAAGCATTCTAAGCAACCGTCAGCCGATAGCAGAGGAGATCCATCGAGTGGATCATCCTGTGCACAGTGTTCTTACTGTGTGAAATATTTTCCCAGTGAAGATTTATTATCTTTTCATATTAAAAAATGTCATGTTCCATGTGCATGTAATATTTGTGGAGCTATTATTGCTAGTGTCGATAAACTAGGGTATCATAAGGTATGTTGATCAAAATTTACTTCTCTAGTTTGCTATAGTTAATACAGATTTTATTCTACAACACAGGCCACGACGCATAGGAGTGCGAAACACAATTGTCCTTATTGTCCGCTTAAATTTTATCAAACCTCGCCTTATCGGTTACATATAGTCAAATGTAAGAATCGGAATTTTTCCTGTGATCTATGTGGTAGAAAGTTCCAAAGTTCTAAAACTTTTAAGTTGCATAACAAAGTGCGTCATCAAGATAAGGAAGTGTTGAAGAAAGGTCAACAATGTCGTATAACTAAAACCGAAGAACGCAAGCAACAGCAAACCGAGAAGATTGCTTTCACAAAGGAAATTACAGAACAGGAAACAAAATCAAATCTAGTGGTCATTACTGACTGTTCGATTTGTGGAGAAAATTTCGCTGACCAGCACTTAGTTTCCCGACATATCGAAACAACTCATCGGATGACTATTTGCTTGATTTGTGGAATGACGTTTGCCAGTGCTGATGAGCTAATGAATCATAAGGTTTGTATGATGTTTAATGATAATTTGTAATGTATCTATTTTAGTTAACCTGCTGGAATTGTCTGAATTAAACCTTTCCTGCCCAAACCCCTATGTTTGTTGTTTAGGAGTGATAGTAATTTTGTTACCAATGCCTTGAATTTCTCCTCACAATCGCAATAGTTTTTTCTCAGAATAATCTAGAATTAGTATTACATTCTTCTCAAACTTCGAATGAAATTCTCATGATAATTCTTCAATTAGCCAGATTCTTGAATTCTGAATAATTAATGGGTAGTTCTCAGGTTTACTTCCGTTTACGTGTTTTTCAGTTAGAAGAGCGTATCAACTGGAACGTTTATCTTATTCCTGGAATCTTAATGAATATTTCAAATATATTTGTTATGTTTTTAATCTTATGTTTTCTAATAATTATATTCTACTATATATATATTTTTTTTATCTATTTCAGCTCAATTGTTCTCAGCATCTAGCAAAGCACATAGATTCTCAATTCGATACAGAAAAAAAATCACTACTCCAAGGTGAGAATTTATCCAGCGGTGCAAAAGAAGTTCAAACTGATTCCTTGCCACAAGAAGAAAATATTGAAATCAAAATGGAAATTCAAGTAGAGGACATAATGCTGCAGACAGAGCAATACCCAGTTTCAAGCAATGATCGAGGAAAATCATTCACCACGACTTCGGCCAGCGTTAGTGAACTTGAAGTTGGCAAGGTTTGTATAAATTGAACTTTATTATTATGTGTTTTCTGAAGTGATTCACTACTTTCCGTGGGAGTACCTCGTTTGGCATAATGGCCGTTTGGAATAAATTATGAAAAGAAGGGGAAATTATCGTTTTGTCTTCTTTTGAACATATGCTCTTCTTTTTTTTTTTTTTTTTGAGAACCGATAAGAATGATAAAAAATCAGTGATGTTCGATAGAGACTATACATTTTTCTCGTTTATGCCAAACGGCAGTTATGCGATACACAATTAACTTTTTTACGACCAATACAGAATTTGCCTTTAAAAACTCACCTCAAATAACAGCTTGATTTGGTTAGTTAAAAATCGTTAAGTCCGACGAGAAGACTCCGTGATCTAGACATTCAAGCCCGTTATTTTCAAAGTTAGTCAAGACCATCAGATAATACAATTTCTATTTTTCCGTTGCCTTTGACCTCGAAATAGCATAGACAATTTCATCACAAATTATCTGATGTTTCGAAAACCCCTCCGCTTGGCTAGTTTTTGCACCTTGCTGTTGGTGGGCGGCCTTTATAGTGGAGTGTTGGAGACGGTAGGCTTATGACCAGCGTTGCTGGCTCATGCCGCGATAGAATAGCGCCATGGGCAGGCGATGGAGATTGCTAAACTTACTCTCTCTGATGAACCACTGCATGAGAGAACCAAAGATCTAGTCTGGCAGTGATAGTATCACACGTGTTACTCCTTTGTTTGAGAGCCGCGTCGTAGTACGCTTACGTACAGGCACTGACGTTGGGTGTGATACTGGCGGGTTTTGCCGCAAATCACTTATTTTATTTATTTTCGTACAGATAGATTTATTTGCGTTTGCAAGGAAATATTTCAGAAAGTGCCCCACCGTGCTCCTTTTATTTGCGTGACAAGCTTTCATTGTTTGAGTGGGTTGGTTTATTTCCTTTAAATTCCGTTATAATTGCTTATCTTTTGACAGTGCCACTGAGTACTTGGCACTGATGAAGTCTGCAAGTAGTAGACGAAATACGCGTATCTGTCAAAAAGAAGCAATTCCGGAGAACTTTGAGAATAAAGCGTAATTGCTTTTGTAAACAAACACGACAATCGCCGATTTCTTGCCAATTAAGGCTTAATAAAAAAAAATTAACAGCACAAATAGGTAGAGAAATGATTCCTCTATCATTTGGTATGGTTTGTTCGCGAGATTGAGTATCAATTTACGAGAAATCGGCGATTGACGTGTTTGTTTACAAAAGCAATTACGCCCAAATCTCAAAGTTCTCCGGAATTATAACGGAATTTAAAGGAAATAAACCAACCCACTCAAAGCTCTTCATAAAGGAATTCCGTTAAGAGGTTCGACAAATTTAAAGGATCTTTCATTGTTGTTTTCATTGAAGTATTACTCAGGGAACAATGTTAAACACCATTTTTGTACATGGTATTGTAACTAATCTTATATGTGCTTCATTTGGGATAAATGTTTGAAATATGGCTCGGGATTTCCACTGTGGGGTGCTTCTATTGTGACATACCCATACGTATTTCTGTGGTGCGACATAATGGAAGCGTGTTTACTCCAGCAGGCCTGGGTTCAATCCCAGTCGGCGCCGCCGGGATGTTCGGAACGGAAGTAAAGCTGTTGGTCCCCGTTTGATGAGTTGATGGGTCGATATGTAGGGTCCAGGTGTGGGAGCTACCTCCCTGGCGTCGGTAGCATTGGTGCTCAGCACGGAAAACAAATCAAACTTATGGGATATTTAAACCATTATTTGTTTAATTTTAAAGGAGCATGAAAAATGCTCATGATAGGTTGTGACTGAGAGTTTATAAAATTTCTCGAAGTGGGTCAACAAAAGATTGGAACCATTTTTTTCGATCAATAAATGTCACTATTAGTCACTTTATTATTGTTTCAAAGTCCATATTTGATCACCCTTTTGTTTTTTTTTAAACTTTATTATAGAGATTTTTAGCCGTAGGCTAGTTCATCTCGTATCACCATTTTCGTTATTTTAGTTACTAAAGTCACTACTTTAATATTACATAAACCACTACCAGTCCTGTAGTGTATTACAGAATTTTCACACTAGATGGCGCTGATTCTAAAATAATAAAGTTGCGCTCTAGGGGTGAGACAATGTTGCGAGTTTCTGATAGCCTTATTTGCCGTTTTATTTTAATTCAGTGTTCCGTTTCGCATCGTTCCATTTCGCTTTACTCCATTCCATGTGCTAAATGACGGACGGTCTGACGATTCACGACTGCGGTTTGGACGGAAAATTCGTGTGCTGCTTGGAAGGTAAGACACCACGTACTCCTTTTCCGAACGAATCCAAATCGAAAGCACCAATGGACCTGGTGCATATGGACGTTTGCGGTACTTCTTCTTCTTCTTTCCTTTATTTAACGTCGGTCTCTGTTCCGCAATCTAGTTCCAATCACCGACGGACATCGATTGCCATCCATTGACGGCAATCGAATGTGCAGGAAGGCAGCTTCCACACCTGCGTAGGATATCGCACCCATTCAACACACATGGGCCGGGCCAACGGCTTTACTTCCCTTCCGAAGGAAGACGTGACCAGAGATTTTTATGCCTCAGAAAAATCCCACCGACCTCGGCTGGGATTGAACCCAGACCGATTGGGGTCACGCTTACCACTACACCACCGGCGCCGGCGGACGTTTGCAGGAGTCGTCGGTCAGTGGTTATCAGTATTTCATTACCATAATCGGCGACCACAGTCGCTATTGCATACTCTACCTCCTGAAAGAGAAATCGGAGGTCGCCACGAAGATCGAGGTGTATGTCGACTTTGCCAAAACGCATTTCGGTCGGAAGCCAACAGTAATCCGCTCCAATCAGGGTGGCGATGGCGAGTATAGCGGGAAGCAGTTGCGTTCCTTATACAAGCGTAAAGGGATCACACCCCAATACACCGCCAGCTACCCACAGCAAAATGGGATCGCGAAACGGAAGAACCGTTCCCTCTTCGAAATGGTACGGTATGCTGATTTCCTTGTTAAAAGGTGAATGTAATAAGGTAGGGAACGAAAAGCTATGTTTGTTTGGCCAATGTCACTGACGCTATACATATTCTTCATCTTCTTAAGTTTTGAAAGTATTCAAAAAAAGAAAAACAATGCTACACGGCCAATCATACCAACTCAGCGACTGGGATTAATTTACTCAGAGAATTTTCTTTCCATACGCAATTTACTCAGATAAGGAATAAACTGCAGTTACTCACAAGCTATCAGTAACTGCAGTTTATTCCAAATCTGAGTAAATTTCGTATGGAAAGAAAATTCTCTGAGCAAATTAATCTCAGTCGCTCAGCAGGGTAAGGTAGGCCAAGATGGGTCAGCTGTACGTGTATTAATTTATTTGTTTGTCAAAATCAATAGGTTCTATAGAACCTCAATGGTGGTTTGCTTTTTCAAACCAGCATTAGGGATATTGAGCCTGTTGATTTAATCGATTAAAAAATAAATCTTGCCTCACCCTACCCTATTTTTTTTAAATAAAATCAAAATAATTTTAACTTCTAGGAATTTATTTATTTATTAATTGTTACATGCAGATGAAATGTCGTTCGAAAGCCAAATATACGTGTCCTACTTGTGGAAAAACAACTAACTACATACGAAGCTATAAATCTCACATGTCAAATTGTAAGGGAATCCCAACGATAATCAATATAAATAAAACCACGCTCTTGCCACATGATGACCACGGACAAGACCAAGGACAATCAACGGTTAATCCATCCACCATACTTGATGGTGCTGCCTTGAAGAAAAACGCAAATAACCACGAAGCAGTTTGTTCGATTGCAAAGAGTGATACTCAAGCCGGTGCAAAAGAGATTACTGAAAAGCAATATTTTTGTACCATCTGTAGAATTAGTTTTTCTACTAAAGAACAAGGCAAATATCATAAGGTTCGTTAATTGAAATATTCACTCTAGTTTTCACCTTATAATACTGTTTTTCTCTTCGTTTTTTCAGCTCAAATATCACACGAAAGGGAAACACCAATGTCCCCACTGTTTGAAGAAATATCACCGAACCGGAGATTTAAAAAAACATGTTCCAGTTTGTGCGGGTAGAAAATCTGCCTGTGATTTGTGTGGTAAAAAAGTCAAAAACCTGAGTATGGTCAAACAGCACATGAAACGAATCCATCATGTTGACAACAGCCGTAGAAAAAAATCGGAGATCGAAGTAACGAATAGCACTGAGGAACAAAAGCCAGGCAGAGTTGAGACGAAAGATTACAGTGGAGAGAATTCATCTTTAAATAAGGTAACGGAGATGTCGAAAAACCGTCCAGTGGAACATCTTGTGTCAAATGTTCTTACTGTGAAAAAATGTTTTCGAAAGAAACGTCTCTATCTCGTCACATTGAACTCGGCCACATACCATTGTTTTGTCTATCTATTGTTTTGTCTATTTCAGCTCACTTATCCTCGGCAGCAGCTGGCAAAGCACGTTGATTCTCAATCTGATACAGAAGGAATCTCATTGCTCGAAGGTGAGCACTCACCCAGCGGATCATGTATGGCTGTCCATGGTGCCAAAGAAGTTCAAACTAATTTCATGAATTTGCCAGAAGAAGACTATATTGATCTTAAAATGGAAATCCAAGCGGAGGACACAATGCTACAAGAACAGGAAAACCAAGTACCAAATAATAACCGAGAGAAATCATCAACCACAACTTCGGACAGTGTTAGTCAGCTTGAACCTTGCAAGGTTTGTGTAGTTTTACTAGGTACACCACCACCGGTAAACATACATAACACATTGAATATTCCTCAGTTTAAAACACTACTGCCATCTGATGAGTACACTGTGACTGGCAGTACGCTCAACAGATTGCAATAGTGTATAAACGTCAAACGCAAGGCAAATAAATCAAGAGGATGGCCATTTTTTCATAGCAGTCATTCACTTCGCTTGGTTTTTAATGCAACTAGCGAACATAGCACAACATATTTAAGTTTTAACATATTATTGCTATTTCACATGCAGCAGCCGGATGACGGTAAACCAAAGGTCGTTGCATCTGAGGATACAGATCATGTAACTGGAATCGCCATCAAAGTGGAATGCCCAGGAGATGAAGAAGTAGAGGAGACCTTAATCGTTCCACAAAGTACAATGGAACCAATGGACCTTATGCTTCATGGAACTGATGATCAGGAGAAGGCAAAATGCAGCAACAAGTATTCCCATCCTTCCTCAGAACTGTTATGTACCAAATGCGATGTCAAGTTTATTTCACGCCATCAGTTAAATTGTCATATGGTGCGCACAGCGATAACAATGTAATCAGTAATGTTAATAATGAACGGTCCTTTTTACCAACTTGCAGAAAAAGATACACACTGAACCTCGTTTAAAGTGCCCAGAATGCGAAAAATCGTTCAACAATCAACGCGTCCTTCGGAATCATATGGAAGTACACTTAAAGGCCGCCAAGAAGGAACTTGGTGGCAAGAATCACTCGTCGGATGGTTCCGAACTTCGCAGATCAAAGAGGACGAGGGTGATAAAGAAAAAATGATTTGGTAAGGAAACTCCAGTTTTAAATGCACATTTTGCCAGTCGGGACAGACAGCAGACGTTTGACCAGTGCTTCAAATTGTCAGTCGTGGTGTAACAAACAACCACATATTTCGCCATATTATTATATTTTCGGAATATAATAGGTGGGTATAATGACGCAGCTCGCACTCGGATTTTTCTGTCATACCTACCACGAGCGACTATAAGCTTGTTCGACTTGCTTTGCAATTTTCTTTATTTTTGCGGTGAAAAGCCTATAAAAAATTCAAATTACATGTAGATTAATTTTCTATTGTTCCCGTGGTCATACGTCAACATCTCGACCGAGTTCGACCAGTTAGAACCACCATATCACATTCGGTTATATTTTGGCTGAATGGACACCGGCACAAGTAACTCGAAGTAGGTTGGGTCGGCTGAATGAACGAGCGCTCTTTATACAAAGCCAATATTAATATTCTCTTTATATGAATTAATTAATAATTATGTTGGTTACTATAATACAACAAATGTATTAATAAATCTTTATTAAGTTTGTACGTATTGTGAAAATCCTTCCATACATGTGATACAGTTCAAAAACTAGTTTATTGCTTTGATTGTTAAATACCTAATACATTAAAATCTTGTAAGGAAAATGACGGATTCGGAAATACCTTAACCTAAACTATACCAAACCACCGTCCTCTGTTCGAATGAAACCTCAGACCATTCAAATCGAAACATCCAAATCGCCTTTTCGAATGATAGCTGCAACCGGATGACAGTTGTTTTTAAATCAGATGATTTTCCTCTCGAATACAGGATGAACATTGTTATGAGAAGGAATAGGGCCTTCAGTTGGGATGCATAATGCTCTCTTCAGAATGATAGTCATCTTAAATTGAAATGCATTTGGTATTGGTTCAGCCCCTTAACGCAAATCATTCAAAACTATGATGTAAATAATTCTATTCAACGTCATTTGCTGCTCTGAGCAGACAAACGACACTGAGCGACATTACCATGCCGTCATTGCATGATTAATCATTCAGAGCTATCCGATTTCTTTAACATCGAAAATAATATGAGATACCCGATTGACTGATAATTGACATTAAATGGAATGATTCATCATACATATCATAAAAGGAAATAACATCAACCACTTAATGAAGTACCGTTCAAATTTTGAAAGGTATTAGGTTTTGCACCGTCGGGGTTAACCTCAATCTGATGACAGTTTAGTGGTACTGTTTACGTGGACTTAGCCGATTTTTTGTTGGGTGGATTTTCTCGATAATTTTTCAGACTGCAGTGAGATGTACACAGCATTTCTGCAATGTTCACGCGCTGTTCCTCGACAATTTTCAAGTTAAAATTCAGAAACTTTAGAAATTTTTTTTTTCGAAAAAACGACTAAGTGCTTGTAAACAGTACCACTGAACTGTCAAAAAGGTTCAGCCGATTAACACTGAGTTCATTTGTGACGTCACGCTGCAGAACCTAATTAACAATAAATGAATTCAAGAACAGAAATGAACTAAAATCCGAGCTAAAATCATCCAACTGAACCTCATAACGAAAATCATACAACAAATGTCATGCGATTCATTTTCATATCGTTTCAGTCTCCCATTGCGTTTTGGCCTTACCATTTTTTCGCAGCTTGTTGCGACTCTCTCGAATAGCAGTACACAGTTTTTTCGCATACCACGGGGAGTGTCACCAAAAAGCGAAAGAGAAAAAAGTTTTCGGATTCATGTGGCAAAAAAATATCTACTCGTTCCGTTCCCGTTTGATTCGAATGTTTCAGTGCCCGTGGATTGTTCGAGATCCAGCCCTCCCTCGAGGAGGTGGTCAGCGACTTTGAGGAAAGCAAGTACCAGAACGCCGAACTGCCCCTTTCGTACAACGGCAAGTCGCCGAACGAGTGGAGTTTTACAAACTGGCCAACCCTTATAAAAAAATAACCATAAACGAACGGTAACCCAAATCATTCAACTATTCCACAAATGGTTTGGATGATACCCAGAACACGTCGTTAAGCAAATTAACCATACAATTTTTATTAGGGAAGTGGGCCATCGACAGAAACGTGTAATCAAAACAACATCCGCTGGTTGATTCAAATTCCTAGACTTCAGTGAGTTACTGGGAGGGAGGTCCTTTGTTTCAAGCAATACGATCATAGAGGTAACTCTAAGACCACTGGGTTCCGAAGAAAATCATTGTTATTTTTGGCTCACTCAGTACCAGAACAACGGTCCCAAGCAGTCCCAAGCTATTTCACTCACCCCTGCATGTTCTGCATGAATCCACACACCCCTGATGTTATCTGTCAAACTTTCATAGCGAATCAAAACAAACATAGTGTAGTAATAGAATTTCAACTAGAATAGGGTATGTTAATCGTTTGCTTGGGACCAATAGGCTACTAAAGTGGTGAGCCAATTTAAAATCGTTAGTTTCGTATTGATTGTTGATACGATTCTAACAAAACAAGTTTATCTTCCAGTGATATCTTCAAGACCAACCAGCTGATGAGTTCGTTCCAGCAGATTTTGAAAAACATTTTCAAACTGCTTTTTGAGGCCACAAACAACCCGAGCCAACATCCTAAATTGCACAAGTTCCTACAGCACGTGATTGGGTTCAATTCCGTGGATGACGAGTTCAAACCGGCGAATCCACTGTTCGATAGGGACGCCAAGGGCGAGGCCGGCCCAGTGCAGCATTTAGTGTGCGATTATCTGATGGCGATAAATGAATAAAACAATTGTTAAACTTATAAAACAGAAGCGTTTCATTTACAACATTAATTTACAGTTCCAACGATTTAGAAGAGATATATTTCGTTATGATCACAATTTTTAAACTGTAAAATAAGCCTTCTTCTTCCATATATTTTTCATTCAGATTGCTCTTATTTTTCATTTAAACATTGCATGACAATTTATTTTGAAACTGTATACATATATGACGAGTCCGTATCTTTCTCAATGTTAATCATACGGTTCATTACAAGTCTTCCTAAGAATGGATGATAATCATGCTAATTTAGAACTAATGGTTTACAGCGTGCAGAATGCAAATCATCCTGTTTTAGAATTAATGCTATTGAGTTCTTCTGTGCTTTGAGAGCTGAATCAGAGAATGATAATCTTTCACAAATAGAAAAATAATCCGTATGGGGCTCAAGTGAAGCAATAATCATTCATTGATGTATGGACAATTTGGTTCAGTGGAGGTGGAAGCATACCCTGAACGAGAACATCCGCAATACTTCGACTGATTATTGTATTGCTCGAGCCCTTTAACAATATGCTGTCGAATTTTGGATGATTTCCTTATGGTTGAATTATTCGTCATCAACTGATGAGCATCCATATGACTGTCCTCCAAATAAAGGGTGATATTTAGTTGAAAATTGGCTGTAAAACATACAGGGCTCAGCTTTTAGGTTGCATCTTTTGCATACATGGAACAGCGAGCCATTGAACATTTAGAAGACACGAATAATTTGAAACAACTTTTCACAACAGTAGTATATCGAAAAATCAACCAAAATAAATGTTTACGAAATGAACGTAAACAAATTTGACAATCAAAACAAAAACAAATTGTATGCATACCATGACAGTCTACAAACGTTAGTGTGTATAAAATGAATCTTCTCCAGTGGCATTATAGTCGCTATATTTATAGTCAGGCGGATAGAATTTCGATCCATCAAAAAGCGGAACCAATTCAATATATTGTAGACCAACAATTGAAAAGGCACTATCAACTTTTATAAACAAAACGTTGATTATTCTTTCCTCGCCAATCGAACACAAATTACCGGCATCATCGGATAGGGGAAACTTTCCTCAACCCAAAGATGGTGTTAGTTTGCGTAGGCAAGCCTTGAGTCACGAGAAAAGGGTTTCCGAAGTTTTGTTCGCAATAGCTGATGTGCTCTTTTCTGTTGTTGGTCATGATTTGCTCGATTGGTTCCGCTATTTGACGGCTCAATTGGTTCCCGAGATTCTATCCGCCAGACTATGAATATAGCGACTATAGTAATAAGGCCCTCTGTGTCGTAATGTATGTTGTTAGCAGTGTGTCATTCACTTGCTCACATTGTCATTCGCTTGCTCAGCAATGTTTACAACATGTTTGCCTCTAACACCAGCAAGCTGCCTGTTGTTCCAGACCTTGTATGTGTCAATCATATGGTAGTAGGTAATCTTATGTATTCTACGCGGTTCAGTTGATGTTTCGATGCGTCTTTTGCGGCGAAGACTACGTGAGCAAGGAAGGACTGTGGAATCATCTGGACCTGCATAAGGTAAGAAGCGATCATGATTCATCCATCATAGCCAATCCATGCCGACATGGCAAGCGTAACTATTCAAATCAACGTATCTGATTTTGTAAACAATCACTTCAATCGACGATTTGAGGCAAATCGGGCAAATGCTAGCTCACTCACAGAAACTAACAACAGCTAGTTATAGTCGCTATATTCATAGTCTGGCGGATAGAATTTCGATCTATCAAAAAGCGGAACCAATTCAATATATGTATTGTAGACCAACAATTGAAAAGGTACTATCAACTTTTATAAACAACACGTTGATTATTCTTTCTTTGCCAATCGAACGCAAATTACCAGCATCATCGGATAAGGGAAACTTTCCCCAACCCAAAGATGGTGTTAGTTTGCGTAGACGAGTCTTGAGTCACGAGAAAAGCACCCCTATTCTGTATTTCGTTCGAAACGAAATTCCCATAAAAAAAAATATTTTTTTGTATGAGAATTTCGTTTCGAACGAAATACAGAATAGGGGTGAAGGGTTTCCTTAGATTTGTTTGTAATAGCTGATGTGCTCTTTTCTGTTGTTGGTCGTGATTTGCTCGATTGGTTCCACTATTTGGCAGTTCAATTGGTTCCCGAGATTCTATCCGCCAGACTATGAATATAGCGACTATACATCAAGTAGGGGAAAGATTCTCCTACCTGATGATGGTGTTTGTTTGGGTGGGTGAGTTAGCAGATAAAACAAATCATCGATTGAAGTGATTGTTTACAAAAACAGGTACGTCGATTTGAATAGTTACGCTTGATGGTGTTTTTGTGAAAAGATTGCAGATGATCGTAAGGAATACTCGCGTCACTTTTCAAAACGTCCTAAGTAAAAATATAAATAAATCGAGTTAATCGATTACAAACTATTGCTCTTCTAACATTGTATGTGATACAAAAACACCCATCCAAATTAACTATAATTTATTTAAGATAATCATAGGTCAAAAATTGTCCAATGTACAGTTTTAAATGATGGATTGTTACTTCGAACATTTGGACTGTCTAATATGATTGGGGCCTCATAGCCTAGTCAGTAAAAGGCACGGTATTACCAAACCGGAGGCGGCGGGTTCGATTCCCCGTTCGGTCGAGGGAATCTTTCGGGTTGGAGATTTTTTCGACTTCCCTGGGCATAGAGTATCATTGTGCTTGCCACACAATATACAAATTCATGCATTGGTATTGGTATCGAAAGCTCTCAATTAGTAACTGTGGAAGTGCATTTAGAACACTAAGATGAGAGCACGCAATAAGCTAATATGCTCTAAGCAATAAGCTTGAAATGCGAATAAGAAGATGAAGAACATGATTGGTGCTCATTTTCTAAAGACGGGGCATGGTTAGGCTAGGTATTATATTCTGAAATCTGTGAAAGGGAATCTAGTATCATGCAGAACAAAACGTCCAATGTAACACTTATTGATTATGTCATCGAGAAAAATCGTTCAATGTAACATGTCCAATGTAAAACTTTACTAGTTAAAACGTCCTATGTTTTTTCTCTATATTGTAGCATGAAATTCAAAGTAAAATTGTGATTTTAACGTTTCAACTGAATTTTCAACGTGATTATTCACTGACTATAGTAAAAATAGTTTTGCCAAATGTTAACATAATAATCTGTCGTTGAAGTTCGATTTTCTCAAAATGGCGAATATATTACATTGGTCTATTTGAAAAATGACGCGAGAATTGCACTATCAGGAAATAAAAGCAACACAAGAGAGGAATTTAATTATTCACGGAGAAAATTGATTTTCGTAATGCATTCACAAAGTTTAAACAAGAAATCGTAGACTAGCGTTCGAGTGAGCAGCTAGTTGCTAACATGAATGATGACGGTACGGATAGGCATACGATCGACGAGGAATCCAGACTGCTTTCTGATGATACTGGGAATGATAGTACACACCTCACCTCAAAACAGCAATATTGGTGCGACATATGTGAATCTACTTTTCCTAATTATGCCCAAGCCAAATATCATAGGGTTCGTTTGATTGAAAATGTCGTTTATATTTTCTCTTTGTAATACTGTTTATGTTTTCAGTTGACGAGGCACACAGAAGGGAAGCACAAGTGTCCCCATTGTTTCAAAAAATGGCACCGGAAAGAAGACTTTAAAATACATATGACAGTTTGCGCAGACCGAAAAATTTCCTGTGAATTGTGTGGCAAAAAGTTCAAACGCCTATATGGTGTCAAACGACACAAGATACGAGTCCATCATGTTAACGGACCTTTGAAAAAAGTGAATAATGAAGATTGCATTGAGGAGCAAAAGCAAAAGCAAAACAGCGTTGAGAAGATAGATTCTGAAAAATCGTCAATAGATTGCAATGGAGAAAATTCAGCTTTGATTAAAGTGAAGGATTCCTTTATGCATGATGCGGTTAAGGTAACACAGAATAATTTGCAACCACACGTTGATAATCCTTCTAGTGGATCATACAACACAAAATGTTCCTACTGTGAGAAATGTTATTCTAATGAAGGTTTCCTACGTCGTCATATCGAACAATGCCATGTACCATTCCCATGTAATATCTGTGGAATAACCTTTGATAATGGTTTTAAACTACGGTATCATAATGTATGTTGGTTGAAATTGACCTATCTACTTTCTATATTTAATACAGTCTACATTTTACATAATAGATTACGAAGCACATGGATCCGAAGCACAGATGCCCTCATTGCCCGCAGACATTTGAAAAAACCTCACGGTATGAGGTACACTTACCCATGTGCAAGGGTAGGAAGTTTTCCTGTAATCTATGTGACAAAAAATTCAAAGCCCTTCGATTTGTTGTCAAGCATAAAAAAGTAATTCATCACGATAAGGAAGCTAGCCATTGTCATAAAAATGGCAGTGAAGGACAAAACCAAAAACAAACTAAGATGATTGCACTCAAAACAGGAGATGCAGCTCATCAGATGGCAATTTGTACCATTTGCGGGATGACGTTCTCCAGTGCTGATGAGCTGATGGATCATAAGGTTTGTATGGCGATTCATGATTTTATTTTACGTATCTTATTTACTTTACTTGCTCTTGAGAATCGATCAGATTGATGATCAGATGTTATTTGTTTAAAGCACTGGTGTTGGGAGTAAGCAGCAGATTGCATTGCATTGTTTGTCTATTTTAGCTCACTTTTCCTCAGCAGCACGTTGATGTTCAATCTGATACAGACGATATCGCACTGCTTCAAGGAGTTAATTCACCCAGCGGATCATATATGGCTGTCGATGGCGTGAAAAAATTTCAAAATAATTGCATGATTGTGCCACAAACTGCGACCAATGAAATCAAAATGGAAATTCAAGTAGAGGACACAAGGCTGCAAGAACAGGAATACCATGTTCCAAATGATGACCAAGATCAACCATACACCACGACTTCGGCCTATGTCAGTCAGCTTGAAATGGACAAGGTTTGTATTTTTATGAACATATAGCACCTATTATAATAAGCTATCTACAAAACCCTAACATATAGTGTCCGTTACAAGCTGCAACGAAAATTAACCGTTACTCTTATTGCCATTTCACATATAGCATAAACATGGCGGTAAATCAAAGGATGTTGCATATGAGGATGAAGATCATGTAGCTGAAATTAAAATAAAAAAGGAATGCCTAGAAATTGAATAAAATGCAGAAAACACCTTAATCGTACCTCAGGGGGACAACGGAATGTTTGAAATATAATGGAAATCCCAACGATCGAAACAGTTCCTTTATACATCATGAAGCTGATGATCACAACAACAAAAATCCTCATGGCGGCATTTTCGACAAGATGTATTAGCATCCTTCCTCAGAGCGTGTGTGATTTCAAGCTTACTTCACGTCATCAACTAAATTATCATATGGTACGTACAGCATTAACAATCTTATGTAGGAGGTTCAATGTCCCTAATTTCGCCTAAGTGTCCCTAATTTTGGGCCCACCAAAACTATCCACTTGTACTGTCCAGATGATGCATTGTTACAACCAAAATTTAAGATCAGGAGATTTGGTCGATGGCACCGTTCACATTACAGCGTATATCACGTCATATACGCTGTCTTGCAATAAGCACTTTTAGATCTAGTTTTCACTGGAAATCGTATGTATGAGTGCTCATTGCAAGGCAGCTTATATTACGTGATATAGGCTCTAATGTGAACGGGGTATTAGATCCATAATGGCCTATACACACTTAAAAATTTTCGCCGAGATTCCAACAGCCGAGTAATTCTGCAATTTATTTTGCTGAGATTCAGTCAAACAATTGCCGAGGCTCAGCTAACAAATAACTGTTGGAGATTTTACCGAGCTAGATTAAGTGTGTAGGCCAACTTTAGAGCCATTTTCTCTATCTGATTGTTTACACTCTTTGGAGGGTTCCGAACTTTGTGGATCATAGAGGATGAAGGAAAAAATGAAATATGATTTGATGAGGATAAGCCAGTTGTCAATGGTAAGTTGGTGGTGTTTTGTTTGTATGGACTAGAGAAACCTGTTCGGGATATTTCGACATATTTTTCCGGAATATGATGTGTATATGAATGAATTAATATATTACTTCCTATAATTTCAACCGAAAAAATAATATGGGTATTTACAAAGCGCATAGTAAAAGTATACACCGCATTACACTCCAATGGACACTAGTATTTTCTACGATAGTGTATATGTTTACGATGCACATAGTGAAGACCCCTGAATATCTTCATTCCGTTTGTACGTATTGTGAAAATCCATTATGAAATGCTAATGTATCAAGAGGTCGATTTCAGGGGATGGATATGGCTGTCATATCGCTTAAGTTTGCTGCGTACCGAACATCTGCAGCGTTGTCAGCGGTACCATGATATGTTTTGTTATTTTGATGTTGAGTACGTGTATTCAGCTATATGTCAAACCCCTGGTCGATTTTTGTTTATTTCACTCATGATCGAGTTGTTGTTGTTGGACCTTGGTTTGCTCCCACGATTTCTCTGTACACAGCAAAAAAAATGTAATATCGATCAACGTAATTCAAGCTGATGTATGAAATAATGATGTAATAGCAAAAAGCAGATACAATATTACTTCAATGGATGTAATTTTGTTCGCAAAATCGATGTACTTCGTACAATGTGATATTACACAACCGATGGATTGACCTGCTTGCAGCAGTTTCGATGTAATATTCAACAACTTTTTTTTGCTGTGTAACACTCCCCATTATTCTGCGCTGCGAGTGAAATGAGGTGACTCGCGGTTACTCTTCATTTGATTTACACGGAAAGTCACCTCACTCACGTAACTTTTGTCACCTTACTAGTGACAGTGAGTCACTTCACCTCACTCCCGGCTCAGAATAACGGGGACTGCTGATTAAACAAAAACAGCAGCCAACGACACATCCTCATCCCACATCCAATTTATCCTCAAATCCGCATTCTCATCCACATCAACAAAAAAAATCTCAAAACTTAAGCATTTCATATATTAAAAGGCTCGAGTTATGAACGACACATATGAATTTCATATTACTATTTTATGCATCTCTCTCTATTTTTTGCAAGATATTTATATTGAACACCCCTGTTCTAGTCCGATCTAAAGAAAAGTGTTTACATGCTAAACACTCTACCACCGTTACCTAGTATTGGTGAGCAGTTTCACTAATTCAAGCGTTTTATTGGTTATTAGGTTCTGCAGCGTGACGTCACAAATGAACTCAGTGTTAAACGGCTGAACCTTTTTGACAGTTCAGTGGTACTGTTTACAAGCACTTAGTCGTTTTTTCGAAAAAAAAAAATTTCTAAAGTTTCTGAATTTTAACTTGAAAATTGTCGAGGAACAGCGCGTTGCAAGGATATTGCTCGTGAACATTGCAAAAATGCTGTGTACATCTCACTGCAGTCTGAAAAATTATCGAGAAAATCCACCCAACAAAAAATCGGCTAAGTCCACGTAAACAGTACCACTAAACTGTCATCAGATTGAGGTTAACCCCGACGGTGCAAAACCTAATTGAAAATAAAAAAAAAACAAACCGCTGTCAAGTCGAACACTTTGACAGCTGATTTCGTGGTTGAAAATAATAAACAAATCGATTTTACACGGCTACACTATACACAGCAAAAAAAAATGTAATATCGATCAACGTAATTCAAGCTGATGCATGAAATAATCATGTAATAGCAAAACGCAGATACAATATTACATCAATGGATGTAATTTTGTTCGCAAAATCGATGTACATCGTACAATGTGATTTTACACAACCGATGGATTGACCTGGTTGCAGCAGTTTCGATGTAATATTCAACAACTTTTTTTGCTGTGTAGCAACGTTGATTGGTGAAATTTTGCGACAAGAAATCAATTATTATTAGGTACTGCAGCGTGACGTCGCAAATAAACTCAGTGCTCATCGGCTAACCTTTTTGACAGTTCAGTGGTACTGTTTACAAGCACGTTACATTTTTTTTTAATTTTCGAATTTTAACTTGAAAATTGTCGAGGAAATTGCGCGGTGAAAGGCTGTTGCTCGTGGACATTGCAGGAGTGTGGTTTACATCTCACTGCAGTCTGAACAATTATCGAGAAAATTTGCCCAAGAAAAAATCGACGTAAACAGTACCACTGAACTGTCATCCGATTGAGGTTAACCCCGACGGTGAAAAACCTTATACAGATTGTTTTGATTTTGTTTTTAGTTTTTGTCATAGTCAATGTTCTAGATTTTATCATCCAGGCACTGTAAGGAAGTGTTTCTATGATTTAAATTAAAAGTGGTAAAGTGGAAAATTACCTAATCGTATTTAAAAATTATTTGTGCTCACGTTCATTATTTTTTCGACTTCTGCTTCCAACGGGGCAAATAAAGATAAACAACGACAAAATCAAAACTCTTGGATAGTCAGTAAAAATTATGGAATGTGGAATCTGTCTTGAGGAATACCCTGAGGGCGACTTGCAACTGCATCTAGCGATGTGCGTGGTACGGTTGGTGTTCCGGTGCGCCCTTTGCGGTGGGGATTATATGAGCAAGGAAGGACTGTGGAACCATTTGGACCTGCATGAGGTAAGGAGATATCAAAGATTAATCCGTCATAGCCGATCCAAAGCGGAATTGTGTTGCAGATTGCAGAAGAAAGTAAGGATTTACACTATCAAGAAATAAAAGCACCGCATAAATTGCATCAATGCACTCTGTGCAACGACCAACGTGCTTATTCGGAGAGTCCCTACTGGAAGCACGTTCATGTAAGTGATAAATTGTAAAACAAATGGCATAATATATAGTGCAATAATCGGTTCTTATCACAGCATGTTCACGATGGCTTTTTCCTGCGGTGTTCTGAGTGTGGGGAAAACTTCCGATCAGAAAAGCTTAAGAATGACCATTCTTTAAGTTATTGTAAGGCCAGAGATCGATCCATAACATCGAAAACTGATGATCTGGAATCTGTACAAAAGATCAGTAACATAATATTTCCGATCAAAGCTGAAAAAATCACTTCTAATGTTGAACTATCGCGAGAAGAGCAGAGCAATAAAGCAATCGAAGGCAATGATATACCATTACCTGGTGCAGATTCTAGACAGAATGAATATTCTCGTGCTAACTTGAATGCTGATGTCGATGCAGGTAATACTATAGTAGAGAAAGAAATCGGTGTATCTCCTATTGATACGGCAGAAGAAAAGGATTTTCCGTCACCTGTAGAGCCATTCGTTTGTCATATCTGCGAAATCACATTTTCCTCTTATCGTAAAGCCAATTATCATAAGGTATGTAGTATGCTGCTGGACATTTGCAAATCATATTTTCCTATATATTGTAACAAGTTGTTTATCCTTTTAAACAGAGAATTAAACACGGACGATTGCAAAAATGTCCGCATTGTCCGAGAATAATCCAGAAAGAAGAATATCAAGCACACTTGGCATTGTGTGCAAAGAATCGCTTTCCATGTGAATTATGTGATTCAAAATTCCAAGCTTCACGATATCTTACTGCGCATATGAAACGAGTTCATTCTGATAATGGATCTTCCATAGACGAGGAACCAAGGAAGGAGCAGTCATCAGTTCTGCCATTCGCTTGTGACATTTGCAAAAGTACATTTTCCAGCTATGCGAAAGCCGATTATCATAAGGTATGTATGTCATCACAGCGTTTTGCGGTTATAAAATGCTATATTTATTGTTGAATATAGATTATGAACCACGCGGAAGGGAAGTATGATTGTGCAACATGTTCGAAGAAATTCTATTGGAAAAAACATCACTATCTTCATTCCAAAGTTTGTGATGCTGTCCAGGTGGAAACCAAAATGGAAATAACTGTAGAGGAAACAACGGAAAATTTATCCACTGTAACTGAGTGGGATGGTGAACTTATTTTGACAGACAGGAGTGACCCAGATGTGGCGACAGAGAATCTTGCGGGTGATAATGGATCCTGTAACAAATGTTCACATTGTGGAAAAAAGCTGTCCAGTGCTGTTACTTTATCTCGTCACATTCTAAACAGCCATGTACCAGTCCCATGCAAAATATGTGGAATTACATTGTCCAGTCTTGCCCAAGCCCAGTATCATAAGGTTTGTGGACTGAATTTAGAGCCTTTTTTTATTTTTCTATATAATGCTGTTATTATCATTCATTACAGAAAATAATGCATAAGGAATCAAGGTACAAGTGTCCATATTGTTCTCGGAATTATCTCGAGAAAAAACGTCTTCAAAACCATGTCTCCAAATGTGTGGATAATACAGTTCCCTGTGACTTGTGCGGTCTAATGTTTAAAAATCGAACCACAGCTAATGAACATAAGAAAAGATTTTGCCGTGTTACTAAAGCATCGAAAAAAAATCAGAATGATAGTTTCAGTGAGCAGGAACATTCCGAGACGATTGACTCTGACCTTTCGGCGAAAGATTACAGCGAGCAGAAATCCAACTTGCATCAAGAAAAGACATCAGATATACAAGAAGAAACTGATTCATCCAACGTCATAGAGAAAATGTTGCGACCTCTACTTGAAACTGGATTATCCGGAACAAACTGTTCCTATTGTGGCAAAGAGTTCTCCAATATTGAATCTTTATACTTTCACATAACAAGTGTCCATGAGGTGACCAAATGTGATATCTGTGGAATTACTTTCACTAATACGTCCCGGGCCAAGTATCATAAGGTTTGTAAACTAGACTTTGCGTATTTTCAACTGTCTCCATGTGATATTCTTGATCTTCTATTACAGTCTCTCGTACATAACTCGAAGTACAAATGTCCACATTGTTCGATGAAATTTTTCCGAAAATATCGTCTTCAAAGACATGTATTCAGATGTGTGGATTTGAAAGTTTCCTGTGAGAGGTGTGGTCGAAAATTTAAAGATTTAAACGCTGTCAATGATCATAAGAAACGAGTTTGTCTTGCTGATAAAGCTTTGAATGAAGTACAAGAGCAAGGGCAGAAAAAGGCCGATGCATTTCAACTCACCTGTCCACAGCAGTACCCAAACAAACACGATAATTCTCAGTTCGGTGAGGAAATTTCATTTCTTCAAGATGAAAATTCATCTAGTGGATCATGCATGACTGGTGAGTATATTGGAATCAAAATGGAAATCCAAGTAGAGGACACAGCAATTCAGGAACAGGAATCCCAAGTACCAAATGATGGCCGAGGGAAATCATCCAGCAGGACTTCGACCAGTGTTAGTCAGTTTGAGATTTGCAAGGTTTGTTTAGTTTGATTATCTATATACTGTCCATAAAGCCGATCAAGGATCTGTAAAGCTAAATCTAAAGGTTTATCTATTCGAACCACTCTGCGCAATTGCACTATTTCTGATCCGGCTATGGATTGAAATGCACGGTCTTTGGAAAATATTAACCGTTAAACTATTTTCCATTTCACAGCATCCGCAAGGAAGCATCTCAAAAACCGTTGCATCTGAGGATACAGATTATAAAAATGGAATTAGCATCAAAGAGGAACGCCCTGAAGAAGAAGAGACCTTAATCGTATCGCTGAGTACAACGGAACCTTTCTAATGTCATGAAGATGCATAGAATCTTCTAGTTTGTTTTATCCATTGCAAGTAATATTTCGAGATTTGTGAACGTTTTGAGATTGGGGAGACGCAACTGGAGTTGCCAGCGATCGAAGCTTGTGGCGCTGATGATTAAAAGAAGGCTCACGGTAGTTTCCACGAGACGATGCAGTTCCATCCTTCCTAAGAGCGTAATAAGCTAAATTGAATGCTATCTGAAATGATAATACGAACGAATCACATCACCTCGTTTCAAGTGTCGACTACTATGCTAAAACATGATCCACAATCATCGCTTCCTCCGAAATCAAATGGTTGTCAAAAATAACGTCCTCTAAGTTGTGCTTTATTCAAAAGGCAACAAAGAAGAAACACGTTTCGGATCAAAGAGGACGTTGGTAATAAAGCCAAATTGATTTGATAAGAAGCTGTTTTTATTGCACAATATGCTTCAAATCGCGAGTCGTGGTTCTACAATCAATATGTCTTTTGGGTTATTATGCGTTTCTGTTTATATATGATTAGAAAATCTTGTACCACCATCTTTGGTGTTATTTAATTAATTAATATACAGTCAAACAATTTCAAACATTTCATTCAATCAAAAATCTTCATTCTGTTTGAGATGTACTGCCTATAATCGCATATCAGTCCCATATGGAAAAAGTAGGCATTGAGAAAATGGCAGTCGAAGTTACGAAGTGCAATTCTCATGTAAATATTTGAAAAATCATTGTAAATTTATTGATATTTTTTTCAAGTTAAAATCTGTCACAATGAAGCTTGCATGTTCTGTTATATCGACGAAAAATATGGCAATTCGAAAAGCAGAACTTTAACTTGAACTATGGACGATTGAATTTCAGGATGGGACTGATATGCGATTATTTTGCTTGATGGGACAAACTGACTTGATGTTTTCATATTTTTCATGGTCTAAGTTCATAGTTTTATCACATAATATGAAAGTAGATGCCAATTGATAGTGGAAAGCGCTGTTATCTCGAAATTGACGAAAATCCATGTGGGACTGATATGCGGTTATAGGCAGTGTACGTATTGTGAAAATCCTTCCAGAAGTATCAATTTATCTCAAGAATTGAATTTCGCTCGTGGGCTAAGTTTTAGTTGGGCTAACGTTGGGTTGTAGCCGAGGGGCACGCAATACAATGAACCGGTGCGTTGAAGTTGTACTTTGACCCAGGGGTACCCGGACGAGCAGCATCAACACGCGAGCTTCACAGCTTGTTTTTTTGGATACGAAATTGTAATTGTAATTGTAATTTATTATCGTAACGTTAGCCTGTCGGTTACACTATTGCTCAGGTCAAGGAAAACAACAACAAATAATTATTGATTTATATCAACCCGACGCTGTAAGGTAAGTAAGTAAGGATCGTAGTAGTCCGGAGTAATATTTGTCACAGACTTACGCAGAACACATTATTTTGGCCTTGCAAGATGATGCCAGTAACGCGCTCTCAAAGAATAAACAAAGAGTAAACACACCAAATCGTAAAAATTTAATTATTATTTCATATAATTTGCTTTTCTTTATTTTCAGATGCGGCTGTTAGTAGGGGAACGGGAGCACCCGGAGCAGGAGCATTCCGACCAGGAGCACTCTGACCATTCGTCAGGAGAGCCGGTTGCAGGACCCAGTAGGAAGAGGATGCGCCGCGTTTCTCCGGTTTCCGTTTACAGCACGCAGGATCCCTTGGCGAAGGTTCCGTCGGAGTTCAGCACTCTGGAACGGAGGGTCGGTGTTGGTGCGCTCCTTGGCACCAAGGCGGTGAATTCTCCTCGTCAAGGCGGAAAACAAGCAGAATCGAGTCAGTTGGTCGACCAGTCCAGCGAATGCGGTTTCGAAAGCGGCAGAATAAAAGGAGGACAAGTTTTAACTTTTAATCTTTTATTCTCCGATATTAACCGTGTGCGATACACGAATGGACTGCTTTATTTACACTCATTCACCGATCCGACAACGTATAATGGGTGTTCTTTACGTATCCTAAGAGTTGTGATGCTAGTGAGCGTCCCCTTAGTAGTTTAAATTAACTTTTGCATCATTTTTTTCCAACCGTATCGACATGGATTTCCTTAATGTGAGCTTACATTACAATTGAACATGATTTGTTTCATTTCATTTCAGAAACATTTCATTATTCCAAACAATTTCATTACATTGCCAAATTTCCATATGATTCTTCCATTACTCATAATAGGTAGAAGCAATAAGATCGTACCTCCAAAGGCCCGACTCCACCCGTTGGGTACATCCGCGGGCGACCGTACACATTTATATTCGTGATATTCGTGATATATATATTTCCGAATATATGTATCTGATGTACCCGACGGGTCGGGTGTCTTTCTTGGGCCACCCAGGTAAGGTGAAAATAAGCAATGCCGACCGTGACCTTCTCTACTACCGGACCGCTATGTACATGTTAAAGTACGAAGAAGAGACGTTAGACAGGGGCATGGAGTGGCGGGAGTTCACCAACAAGATTACCACCGTTCTGAACAAACCACCCCACCAGTTTCCAGAAGAACCCCTGCGAACTGGAAACATTCGGTAAAATTCAATATTACAAAATTACAAGTTACAAATTTAAAGTGCAATAAACACAAAATGTAACATGTTACATTCACATTCAATAATAGCAATCTGCAGCATCTTGTCGATTTTGGACTCGACCGAAAGACCATAATAATCCCAATCGAACCGGCATAGTTCCCTCCTGGTCTGCATATCAGATCGAAAGGTCAGAATGTGTCCGCACCGGTGCAACCTATAGTCGCTATATTCATAGTCTGGCGGATAGAATCTGGGGAACCAATTGAACTGTCAAATAGCGGAACCAATCGAGCAAATCACGACCAACAACAGAAAATAGCACATCAGCTATTACGAACAAGTCTTAGGAAACCCTTTTCTCGTGACTCAAGACTCGTCTACGCAAACTAACACCATCTTTGGGTTGGGGAAAGTTTTCCTTATCCGATGATGCTGGTAATTTGCGTTCGATTGGCGAAGAAAGAATAATCAACGTGTTGTTTATAAAAGTTGATAATACCTTTTCAATTGTTAGTCTACAATATATTGAATTGGTTCCGCTTTTTGATAGATCGGAATTCTATCCGCCAGACTATGAATATAGCGAGTATAGTGCAACCCGGTCGCAAACAGTGTGTATCTGGAAGAACGAAATAGTTTATAAATCGGTGACTCAGAAGCCACAGAAAATTAAACTAGGAAAATACATCCGAAATGTTTCAATAATGCAAAACATCCAGAAGAAACTAAAACTTTCTCACATCGACTTTTCGTTGGATTCAGAACCATTTCCTCATCGTTCAAGTCCTCAACTGTTCAACTTTCACTGGAAATCCTATATATGAGTGCTCATTGCAAGACAGCCTATATTACATGATATAAGCCATAGTCTGTACGGGGTATTAGAGTCCGTTTATTCGTTGTTAGTATAAAAACTGATGCTCTTTTTAAGCTAAATGTCGCCACCAAAAGCTACTTTCTTCTCCGGTTAGAGAGAGTCTTTCGCTTACTAGGTCAGACACTGTTTCTCGATTCTAGGAGCTACTTTTTTCTCCGGTTAAGGAGAGAAGTTTTCACTTCCAAGTCAAGAGTTCTTCTAGGAGCTACTTTTTTCTCCGGTTAAGGAGAGAAGTTTTCACTTCTAGGCCGAAAGTTTTTTTCGGATTCAAAAAGAGAAGAATCTGGAGTAACCTACGAAACTTCATTTTACTCAACAAAATTGTACAAAGTGATCTTACGGCTACGTGTTGCATTAGCAACTTATAATTATGTAAAACTTTTACATGATTTGTCCAGGGTTTAACATATCCCTTTCAATGCCGAACTTTAACCTAATTTGCCTATTCTAATTAGCTAGGATTCCGATCGCCCTTGAAAGGGTAAATTTGTGTTGTTTAGACCTTATATACTATGCCCTCTCAGATCTGGGATTTCTCAGATATCTTGTAAGTTTATTTATTTTCGTAACTCAGATCTGATATGGCTCTACAAATAAGAATGTGACATTTGTAACGTTTAAACATTATAATTATATCCTTCGTTAAGGATAAACAGAGAGGGAAAGCTAAAAGTAACCTAGATGCGCAAGCATGCCATGCGTGGGCGTGTTTATCCCACTTGAACGCAGAAACGTTCCTAAGTAAATACTGTAGTTAGATTATGTAAAACGAGCTCTCGCTCCTTTTGCGCTACTTTTCATTTCATATTCTTGGCCTTGGTATCAACGTCAGCTAGGGCTATGCAAACGAGATGCAACTATGTGGTTATCTTATGGTTTTGGTTTTAAATTAATTGCCTCGCGGTAACACTAAACATTGTTTATTTACAAGTTATTCGAAAAAGTATTAAATTTCAATCTAACTGCCCTAATAAACGGATACCATAAACTAACAATATCATAGATGGTACGACCATACCACATAAAGTTGGAATGATATCCTCAGCTGGCTGGCATGCCGCCATGTTATTGAAACCAACATCTGAAACGTCACAATTCCAGTGTGAACTGCAAAAATGGCGTGACTGAATTGTCTTATTTTTATCAAATGAAATTATTTTCCCTTTTATGCCATATAAATGGTTGACTTCGTGGAAGAAAATCAGAAAATAATATTTTATGAGTCCTAAGTTTAGTTTTCACAAAATGTAAGCAAAAATATTAAGAATATCCATAATATCAGTCACGCCTTTTTTGAAATTCTGGCTTGAATCTTCTATTTGTTTACAAATTATGAGCTGTCAGTGGGGCCCGCAATTCGCGGGTCCGCAGCGATGTTAGCTCTTTTCAAGGCAAGGCAAACAAGATAGGGATGCCAGCTAGCTGGATATCCTTAATTGGTGGTTAGGCGCTTCTTATGGTTATTGTTTATGCGGGTGTGTTTACTATTATTTTGAGTGTACTTTGCCACGAAATGGGCACTTTTTCACCCATTAATGGGTATTTTCCAGTTACAGTGCATGCACTGAAACAAGGACCATACACTGATAAAAATAGTGTAGTACCACATACCATAGAAACGTGTTTAATTATACCACGCCAGTTCATAGTAAAATCTATCAAAATTTATTTCAAAACGACTATGATTTCAACAAAATTACTATGCTCCCCTTAAAATTGAGCATAGTACCATTAATAACATTCATGGTTAAAATAATAACTTCAAATTTACCATGTTGCCATCTGCATATAGTAATATCAACAGAAATAATGTTCAATGGAAAAATAAAGTGATTACTATTTCATAGCGAACCATGGTAACTGCAGATTCTTGCATAACCACCATTTTGAAAAAAAGAGCAGTGCACATCCGCGGAAGCTGTTGTTTTTTAAGTTGGAGATAATGGCAGACGAAAAAGTGGAAATAATTATTGACGATATGATTGCTGATGTGGAGCTCATCAACGGTAAGAATACATAAATATAAACATAGCGTATTATAAATTCAATGGATGTTTATTTTGGGCTTAGAGGCAGATGAAATACCGGAGCTCCGGAATCTTTTGGTAGAGGATTGGGATCTGGATCCCACTGTTTATGCCATCCTAATTAGTAAGTTGAAACAATTATTCGATTGACTATTTATAACATGCACAATTGCAGACCACGGAATAACCTTGTCGTATTTGAAAGACCTTGACGAAAAGGCATTGAACGATGTGTTTTCGGTAATAAAATGGAACGGACACAAACATTCGCTACGTTCTAAGCTGGAACATTGGGATGAAAGCGTCTTATTTCGACCACCTTCCATCAACCAGCTGAACGAACCAACTCCTTCGAGTTCTCAGCAGGAAAACGTCTACAATACTCAGCCAGGACCTTTCAAACGCAAATTGCTCCCTACAGCTGTGACAAACAATTTGTTTCTCGACATATTGCAGAGAAACGAAAAGGGAAAATAGTCACCCAACACTACATAGCTAATCACAGGCTAGATGTTGAGCACAAGCGCTTTTTGGCCCATACTGTAGTCGACTACTATATTGCCAACGATAATTACTTCAACCTTGCTGACATGGAACGTTTCGCACAATTGATTGCTGCGCGATTCCCACCTGAAATAGCTGTAATTTTTCAACATAAACAGCACGGTTATACATATTCTAATATTTCGGTTATTTCAGGAAACCTACTACAACCCGCGTGACTTCACAGTCAATAAGATGCACCCTTCAGGACGATTATACGACAGATTCCACAACAGAAACAAAAAATCACTTATAAGCCGGCGAGCAACAATTATTGATCACTGGAAAGAGTGTAAGGCAAAGGTATCCAATCTTTCATCAGACGGTGAGTTGCTAAGCTAGATATGAAATATCGTTTTATTAAAACAATTCCCAAATTGATTAATTCCAATTTGCTATAATTATCACGCATCGCGCGTGACGTCCACTCTAGCTGCACCCTAATTGAGGGTATTTTTTTATATCTGGGATGTTCATTAAAAACAAGCAGATAAACATTTCAAAAGGTCCTATCTGCATTGATCAATTCTCTTCATCGACTTTCTCTTTCGTCAATAACTCAGCTGCAAAACCTTTCCCTGTTGTATTTGACGTTTTGGACGCTAGATAAGAACCTCCTTTATCAAACTATGTGGTAGAATTAGCGCAAAATCTGTTTGCGTAACAGTGGTTATGAAAAGAGAAAGTTGATGAAGAGAATCGATCAAAGCAGATAGGACCATTTGAAATGTTCATCGAGATACTATCAACATTGACGTTTGAAAGCAGAGTGTAATGTAATCAGTGAAACATTGTTTTATTTATACAGAAATTGAGCGACTATCATCAGACAAAAACTGGCTAAGAAATAATCTTGATCCGTTTGACGAAATTCAACAACGGTGGTAACAGTCTACTTTGATTCGCTTGAAAAGCATACTGCATGAAACGGACGTTAACAAGTCAAATATTCTTAATGAGTGGCCACGGATTGCAGACCGAAACGGTTATTTACTGGTAAATTTAGAAGCAAATTTAATTGGAAATTTTAATAACAAAAAGTTTAACAAAATGTTTAAAACTTCTTTATTTTGGTTTTCAGATTGATACTGATTTTGAATACATTTATGGAAAGACGAGCAACTCCAACAAGCTTTACGATACCTGGGATCTCTTTCTTGTAGTGTTTCGAAAGTATATTAACATATGCAATCTAAGAGATCATTATTCTCTTCAGCTGCTGGAGTACCTGGCCAGGGATTCTCTTGCTGACCACAGACAAACAGACGTAACTCTTTGAAAAAGTTTTTCTTGAAAACATAGTATCTCAAAACATAGTATCTCAAAACATAGGACCTCAGTAACGACATCTCTCGGGCTTCTCGCGGAAAACAAGCTTGCTCGCTAACTCGTAAACAATATTGCATAAAAGTTCTATAGAATGTATAGAAATGTCAAAGTGATCCGATGCCAGCGCAGCGGCGAGTAGTTCGCGGAACTGATAATATTCAAATCAGTCGTTAAATGCGTGAATGAAGATACACAATGAAGAGTTACGTCTGCTTGTCTGTGATATGACAGAGAGTAACGCGCAATTCCCCAATATCCGGCCCAAAATTTACCCCAAAATAAACGTACTGATGTATAGTTTTTTTTTAATTTCATTGTTGCTATTTTTTGGAAGCTCAACTATAGAAACTTGCAATATACATATAGGGAAAACAGCCCTATTCTTGCGGTACGTTAGCAGCGTTAGAAGCCTATTGTTGTGTATAAAGGTCTCCATACACAACAATAGGCTTCTAACGCTGTTTCCCTCGAGGTTTCCCCTATACATCGATTTTATTTTCGTTCGTCGAAAAAAATTTCACTCTAAGAAAATAAGGGGCTACCCTAAATCAGTTTCATGTGCTTTATTTAAGAGTATTGTTATGCTCCTTTTTTCAGATACCCGGAACTTCATCTACTGTAATTCATGCTGTGGCAACCCTAATGAAATTGGTATGGTTATTTTTAAAGCCGACACGAACCCCGGAAAAAAATAACCATACAATAACCATAAAATAATATAAAATCACAACACAATCTATTGCCAACAATCGATCTTATTGTATGTATATCATACAAGTAAATTTAAAATATTGTTATTACAATAGATCTACAATACGTTCCATAGAGCATGAATTTTCAACAATAGAAAAACAATAAAATTAATGGTAAATGACTCAAGTTTATTCGGGAAAAAGTGATTTTCTGTACGGTTAAGATACATAACAACCCCCTTGTTCTATTGTAGATTTCCACATTTACCATAGATTCTATTGTGGAAATTATAAATTCTATGGTTGATTTATCGTTGCTGACAATAAAATTTATTTTAAGTACAATAAATTCTATTGTATGGTTACAATACATTTCATTGTACCTGTATCGTACTTTTTTTTACGGGACATCATCCTCCATCCATTACCAAAAATGGGTAAACTGTGTTGTGAGTGACAAATTGATAAATGAACAACGTCGATCGGATTCATGTCAATAGATCAGTGCACGGTCCCTAACCTCACTTTTTGCTCCCTATCATTTTGCTTCTGAGTAAAAGAGATAGCAACGAATGGGAGCCAAAACAAACCACCCAAAACTGTCAAAACTTACGGGTGAGAGAAGAGTGCGGCAAATCTTCGTGAACTGATCAATGTTGTTCATTTGTCAACTTGTCACTCCCAACACAGTTTACCCATTTTTCGGTAGGTTCAGTTTTGACCGATCTGGGTTGATTGTACCCAAATTTGGGTAGTTTTGAAATAGCGTGTAACGTTAAATAAAGGAAAAAAAAAATCGTCGAGATTCTCGAGATTCACCAGTTTCACGCAAAACGGTAAACAGAAAATAATCACATCTCTTGTTTACGTTTTGACACCAGTCGATATTTAGCGTTTTTTCAAAAATCAGATCGTTTTCCTGAACGAAAATGCTAACGAAAATTGCAATTCTTGAGCCACTGAAAGCGCCGAAGTTGCTGTTCTTCTAAAGCAAGCGGCTGGTAACAACCGGAACTCTGAACAGCTTGTAGGTTGCATCTTTTGCATACACGGAACAGCCAGCCACGGAACATTTAGAAGGCACGAATAATTTGATACATTTTTTTTTCACAACAGTGGTTATCGAAAAATCAACCAAGCCCGAAACGAAATGAACGTAAATAATATTACAACAACAAATTCTACGCATCCTTGACGGTCTACGTTCGTGTGTATAAAATAATATAGGGTAGTAATCGCGAGATTTGGCTTGAAGAACTTTATACAGCTGGTAGCGGTAGATTACAATAATTATGTACGGTTTATTCGCATTCAATTCAATTCAATTTATTCTATAGCGGTACAACGGCAAAATCAAACCAGTTAGCGATTCCAGCCAAAATGGTCGGATGTGGAATCTGTCTTGCGGAGTACCAGGAGGAAGAGGTGGAACTGCATCAAAAGATGTGCGTAGTACGCTTGGTGTTCCGGTGCACTCTTTGCGATGAGGATTACATGAACAAAGAAGGGCTGTGGAATCATATGGACTTACATGAGGTAAGAAGTGATCAATGATTCATCTGTCATTGGTGATCTATACCGAAATGGTGTTTGTGTCAAAAGATTGCAGATGAAAGTAAAGAATCGCACTATCAGGAGATCAAAGCAAACCAAAAGTTGCACCAATGCGCACTGTGCAACGACCAACGTGCGTATTTGGAGAGTCACTACCGGGAGCACATTCAAGTAATTGGTGGATTGTAACACAAATAAAATAGCAAAATAATCGGTTCCCATTACAGAACGTTCACGATGGCTTCATCTTGCGGTGTTCTGAGTGTGGGGAAAACTTTCAATCTGAAAAGCTTATGAATGATCATACCCAAAGTCACTGTAAACTAAAGGATCAAACGGTCACATCGGAATCTGGCGACCATGAAGCGGATCAAAAGCTCAGCAGTATAAAATGTCCTATTAATGTTGAAAAATTGACTTCTGATGCTGTACAGTTGAAACATTCACGAGGAGAATCAAATGAAGAAATTGATTCACCATTGCCTTGTGATGATTCTGGCGATTATTCGCTTAGTAATATGAATGCTGATATTGATACGGCTAATAGTATCATCGAGACGAAAATCGAGGTACTTCCTGTTGTTACGGCTGATAGGTCTGTTCGATCATTCGCTTGTGATATTTGTGGAATTACATTTCCCACATATTCCAAAGCATATTATCATAAGGTACGTAGGTCAACATTCTTCCATCATTATTTTATGTGTAATACGTTCTCTTATCTCACATAACAGAGGAAAAAACACAAGCATGTGAAACGAGATCATCGTGCTAGAAGATCTTTAAGAAATAAGAAAAATGGTCCAACTGTCAATAATACGGAGAACATTGATCTCAAAATGGAAATAACAGTAGAGGAAACAACTTTAATGCCACTTGATGGCTGTGGAAGATCAATGGCGCCAAGTTCATCCACCGAAACTGGGAGGAATGGTGCAGTTATTTTGACAGACAGGGGTGACCCAGATGTGGCGACTGAGAAGCCTTCGGGTGATGATGTATCCTGTAACAAATGTTCCCACTGTGGAAAAATGCTGTCCAGTGCTGTTACTTTATCTCGTCACATCCTAAACAGCCATGTAACAGTCGCATGCGATATCTGCGGAACTACTTTGCCTAGTCGTTGCGCGATCAGGTCTCATAAGGTTTGTTTGCTGAATTTTTATCCTTTTCATCTAATACTATCCATTTATCGTCAACACAATGTGGAGCACAAGCAATCTAGGTTCAAATGTCCACATTGTTCGAAGTGATTTCTCGCGAAAGCACTTAAACATCATGTCTCCAGATGTAAGGATTGGAAATTTTCCTGTGAGTTTTGTGGGCAAATGTTCAAAACTTGCACCTCTGTCAAATACCATTGGAAACTAATTTGCCGTGTTAATAAAGCCTTGAAGAAAGTTCAGAATTCCAGAGAGGAGCTAGGGCAAAATAGTGTCGATACGGTCTCTTCTAATCTTTTGACAAAAGATAATAATGAGCAAAATTTCAGCTTATCTCAAGACAAGACATCAAATAATATGCTCAATAGAACTAATTCTTCCAACATAATAGAAAAAGTTCCGAGCCTCTTTTAAAAGTGGATTGTTTCAAACAAAGTGTACCTATTGTGGCAAAGAGTTTTCCAACCCGATATCCTTACGGTATCACTTGAGATATTTATTAACATGAGCAAATTAAATGCAATGTCTGCGGCGAGGTCTGCGGAGTATCTTTTATTGGGTTGGCAATACACAATTATCATAAAGTTTGGTGCACTTATTTTTGTGACTTGTCAATTAGGCTTGATTGAATTAAAAAAAATGTACCCTATAATCAGTAACCTTAGCCTGTGTGTCCTTTGATGTACACAGAAGTAGTCTCCATGCATCTCGATCCAGCCCACCGTAGTCGCCCGGTTTTTGCGATGTGGACGATGGGTGGTTCTCGCAATAGCTGGTGCAATTTGTGTTTCATTCGCCTTCTTCATGTTCCGTCTTCCGTCTGCACTCCACCGTAGCTGGTACGCAATACCTTCCGTTCAAAAAACACGAAAGGCGCGTTGGTTCTCCGCGAGCATAGTACATGTCTCGTGACCGTAGAGTATACAGTGGTGCGACGAACTTTATTCGATCGGAGCGTCCCAAGTATCCACGATTCCCTGCCATAATGCGTCTTTGTATTTTTCTGCTGTTGTCATTATCGCCGGTCACCAGTGAGCGAACTTATCTACCACCTCGATTTGATTACCGTCAATCCGAACTCGTGGTGAGAAGCTAACAATGTCTTCTCTTGAACGTCTCATGTATTTTGTTTACAATCGAGTCGATGGCGATGAGTCTAACCCGATTGTCTTTAGCCTGAGGTACGTTTCCACCAAAGTCTCAAAGTTGCGTGCCATGATGTAAATGTCATCGGCGAAGCCAAGGAGCTGAACGGACTTTCTGAAAATCGTATCCTTCGTGTCTATCCCTGGTCTTCGGTGATATTAAACCTTGCCGTAACCCTCGTCGAGATTCGAAAGAACTCGAGAGTGTTCCCGAAACTAAGACAATGCACATTAGATTTTAAATCGTTGAAGCAAACAGCCCTTTAAGATTTCCGATGTATAAGAAATGAGCGTCTGAAAGTTCTGAAAAACTGTTTATGTAGTTTGTGAACAGATACAGAAGGAATCAGAATCATCGTTTCTAGGTTCTAGGTTGATTATCGGAATGAAATAATTCATAGATATAAAACAATAATATGATATAATCTTATAATTTCAAGGAACATTTCTTTTTCTACATAATTGTAATACCGTCTTTATTGTTCAATGCAGCACACATTTCATGCGGAACCAAAACACGTGTGTACTACTTGTGGGAAGAAATATCACTTCAAATCACAATATCGTGCACATTTGCCCGCTTGCGAGAGTAGGAAGTATTCATGTGAAACATGTGATCAGAGGTTCAAACATGCATCCACAGTCACCCAGCATAAAAAACGATTTCATCAAAAAGAGTACAATCTGACGAATGTCCAGATTGACCAAGAACAACTGCGAGCCGAGAACAATGATCTGAAAATGGAAATAACAGTAGAGGAAACTACCCTGATGGCATATGATGATCAAGGACAATCAACGGTAAATCCATCCATTGATGTTACCACCTCGCACAAAAACGCAAATGATCACGCTGTAGTTTGTTCAAGTGAACAGACTAGTAGTGAAAAACAAGCCGGTTCAGAAAAGATTTCGCAGTCGCTTGCAGAAAATTTGTTAAGCCAGCCATATTGGTGCCATATCTGCGGAATTTCTTCGCCTAGTTATTCCAAAGCCACACATCATAAGGTTAGTTTTGTACATTAAAATAGACTTTTTGAATTCTCTTTGTAATACTGTCTTCTTCGTTTAACTCAGCGGACAATGCACACAGGATTGAAGCATCAATGTCCTCATTGTTTGAAAAAATTTTACGACAAAGGAGCCTTAAAAATTCATGCGCCAGTGTGTGCGACTAGAAAAGAAACCTGTGAATTGTGTGGTCGTAAGTTCAAAAACAAGAACTGTCTCACAGGACACTTGAAACGAGTCCACCATGTGAACGGAACTTCGAAGAATGTGAATTTCGAGGGCATGGAGAGCAGTGAGGAGCAAAAGCTTAAAAATGTTGAGAAGGTTGATTCGGAAAAATCGACAGCACGCTGCAGTGGAGAGAATTCAACTGTGAGGCTAGAGGAGAATTCTGATTCGTTTAAGGTAACGGAGAAGAACGTGCTACCACATGTTGAAAATGTACCCTGTACAAAGTGTCCTTACTGTGGGAAAGACTTTTCCAATGGAGGCGGTTTTCTCCCTCACCACATAGAACAAAACCATATACCATGCCAATGTAAAATTTGTGGCATAACATTTGCTAGTGCTAGAAAAGCGACGTATCATAAGGTATGTTGATCGAAATGTACTTCTTCATTTTATATGTTTAATACAGTCCTTCTCTTTATCGTTTAACACAGTTCTCGAGGCACAAGGAACGAAAGCACAAATGTCCCCATTGTCCACTAAGATTCAGTCAATCTTCACGGTATCGGACACATTTATCCGTATGTGAACGTAAGAAATTCTCCTGTGATCTATGTGGTAACAAATTCAAAAGTTATGAAACTGCTGTCCGTCATGAAAACATATTTCATCGAGATAAGAAAGCGTTGATAAAAACTCGAGTGGTCATAACTGAATGTCCGATTTGTGGGGAAAATTTCGATGAACAGCATTTACTTTTCCGACACGTTGGAGCAAGCCATCAAATGACTATTTGCGTCATTTGTGGAAAGACATTCGCCGGTGCTGATGAGCTGATGAATCATAAGGTGTGTATGGTGTCGCATGTTAATTTTGTTACATACCTACTAAGATAGATTTACATCGGGAGAATCATCTAGTTTAACGATCGAATCACAAAAGGTAGAATATCGAAACACATGGCAGAAACATTAAGCCACTCAAAACAGACGTAGAGGCTCGAACAACATTGCTTCAAAAACTAGTGTAAAGATTCACAAAGCACTCAATCGCAGCCTACGCCATGTTCCCCACTTGCAACCTTTTTAGCAACATGATGGCGTTGGTGTAGCACAAATTACGATAGACACTAATAGCGAATTCGTTTATTATCGGGGTTGGAACCAGTTCCAACCCGTGCGAACCCGAACTTTTTGTCAGTGCGAACCTCGACCCGTGCCAGGTTTAAAAAACAAACGATCAAACTGACGTTTGCTAGAAAACAAGCAGACCCAATCTTGATACCCGATCCAGGTTGGAACTGAATAATAAACGAATTCGCTATAAGTGCCCTTAGCGCCCAGTGGCAATTTTAAACAGAAAATTGATCGATACTAGCGCCAAGGGCCAAATTGAGAGAGGAAATCAATGGATGCTAGCGTCACGTAACGGCGATGTAACCACTTACCTTTACACAAATTTCTGACTGAAGTTGGACGTCTGTTCGCTGTGATTAGGCCTAAATGAACAAAGTGGAATGAATTTGAAGTGTTCTTCGAGAAACTTTCGAAGTCAAATTGTGTCTTACTTAATCTTCTTTAATTAAAATTGCTTCTAGCCTGGTTGACAGTTACACTTTGAATGAATCATAACTATTTGGTGCCTCGCAGTCAATGGTTGCTTTGATACATTGATTTCTGCGATCCAGAATCAAAACACTTTCCAAATATTTATGAGTTTATTTTGCAGTTCAGATTTAAATAGGGGTAAAAACGGCTTCGGCACTTCTTTACCTACTATCGTAGAGTGAATTAAGTCCTTGAGCGTCAAATTTTTTTTTTAAGTACACTCCTGTAATCTCTTCCGATAGAATCCAGAGGGCTCATGCAGATGCATTGCAGAAAGAACGTTGGAACCCAACAAAAATATTATCTGAAAAATGTTTCCTGCGAAAATTCTCACGGTGCAGGAACATCTCAAAGTAAAACAATTTTCCAGGGGGCGAGACACCTTGGCTGAAAATATCATTTTTTTTAGGTTTTTAAATTTTCTTGACTTAGACTTAAAAACAAAAGTATCAGTGACAAAACATTGTTCAGCTCTACATTTTAAATTTATTTTGGACCCCTCCCCCCGCTATGTAACTAGAAGTAACACTTGACAAGACTATCTTCCTCTTAAATTACGTAGCGCCAACTCACCTGAACTCCCTTTTTCAAGATTGAAGAAAAATCTTAATTAACAGTTTGAATTGTTTTTATTAAGTTATAGATAGGTACAAGGGTCGTGTGGATTTATTTTCAAATACCTCTTCCCCCTCCATACGTTAAGAAATTTGTACACGAAGTCAACCGTTAATTTCATCTAAATTTCCCATCCAGCATCCGGAGAATGATACATCGAAGGACGTTGAAGCTGAAGATGCAACTCTTGAAAATACAATCAAAGTCAAAGAGGAATACATAGAACAAGAAGAGGATGTCCTAACTGTAGATCAGAGCAAAACGGAATCTGCGGATTGTAGTGGAGATTCCAGCGATCGAAACGAGACCCTTGTACGTCATAAAGTTGATGGCCAGTTTGGTCCGTGTTCTATTTGTGGACTTACCTTTGCGACCAAACCCAAAATGGAATACCACATGGTTAATTGATACATTACTTGGTTAAGAAATTTCAGAATTTAAAGTGTTTGTTTTTTTTCAGATTACATTTCATACAGAACCACGGTATAAATGTTCGCAATGTCCCAAGACGTTTCATTTCGTTAATAGGCAACGTCGTCACGAGATGTCTCACAGCAGGAGTCGAAGCAAGAAGTATATCCTTCCTTCTTCAGAGCTTCTATCGAATCATGAAGTTGGTGATCCGTGCTCCATTTGTGGACTAATCATTAGAAAATACAAAATGAAATATCATATGGTAGGATGAAGCACTACTTGACTAAGCAATTGCAGAATTTAAATAGTTAGTATTTTTATTTAGATCGTGTCTCATACAGAACCACAGTACAAATGTTCCCAATGTACAAAGATGTTTCATTCAGCTTTTGCTCTACGTCGTCACGAGATGATTCATGGAACGATGCTAGACAAGGAGTCTGTAAATACTTCCTCAGAGCTACTATGTAACAAGTGTGGTCTCCAGTTTTTTTCAAATCGTCAGCTGAATCATCATAAGGTACGTTCTACAATAAAAATGTGATATAATATGTACTAACTAAGGTTGCTATCAAACAATTCGCAGATGACGAAACATACTGAACTTCGTTCCAAGCAACCACTCCGTAATCAACGCGTTTTCCAGAATCACATGGATGTCGATTCCCAAGTCGTCAAGAATCAACCTCATTCGCAACGTAAAAAAACTTCTTCGGATTGTTCCGAACTCCGTAGATCAAAGCGAATAAGTATTCAAAACGATGCTTAGAATCACCAGTAGGCAACGGTGCTTCTTTTTGTAAAATATAACTTGTTCAACATTTTTTTTATCTCAGGTTATGATGAATATTAATTAATTTATGAAGCGGTAAATATGTTTTTTAGTAGTTCTGAAACTTAAACTCATCTATTCAAAAATCTTTATTTGGTTTGTATGTACTGTGAAACTCCATATAAAATCACACTCGTATATTCCTAGGGTTTTTGATCTAATTTCCGTCCTACTAAGCACAACCCGCGCTTTACCTCTCTTTTCTGAACGAATTTAAACAAAAAATGGAATATTTTTGTCAAAGATGACTTGCAAATTTATTCACCTTTCCATACGTACCGTTGGATTTGATAAAGAGTCACACATTGATGAGATATTGTCTAAAATCTAACACTGCTTCTTGATTCTAAATTCGTTCTACGAGTTTCAATTCCGTCCAAACGCATTGAAACGCCATTAGATTTCCTTCGTCCTACGGATAAACGGAGAAAAAGGGGATGCGCTAGGAGAGCTTCTTTTGTTTTGAGAACAATGAGTGTAAATATGCATACAATGCGCTCTAATAGGATTTATGTTGTAGCTAATGCACTAACGTATCGGAACAAACGTATTATTGTTTTGTGCATTGTGAAATCATTGATATTATTGATGATTTCTGCTCGATAGAACGGAAATGGGCGATTACGACGAAGTAGCGCTCTTCCCTATTTATATAATAACAAATTGGGTTGAACGCTTTGAATGATTTCGAACCTCTTAACGGAATCCCCTTATGATGAGCTTTCAAGAATAGTGGCTATATTATAGCTAAATATAGCGACTACTTTCGAGCTGGTTGAGTTATTTCCTTTTAATTCCGTTATGAATACTTTTTTTTTTAATTCCATTATGAATCTTATCCAAAATCTTCAACTGTCTTTGTTCCATATAACTTTATAATTCATTCAAAACTCTTTACATCAGGATGCTGAAAACCTATTTAATAAAGAAACTTGAACTCCTACAGGATTACTTTGTTATGCTCTCAAGATTTTCGTTAGAATCACGCTCCTTCCTTGAGAGTCTTTCTGATATTCCTTAGTACTTCTCTTTATAACAATCCCAAAATTCGCTGCAGAATACTAAATATTACTAAATGCTCTTAGCATTTTTAATTTATTCTTCAAACAATTAGCTTAAGCTTGTCATTATATTCTATCTATAATTTCCAAAAATTCCAATTTGCAATTGAACTGTAAACTGTCTTGAAATTTTACCAAAATTTGTTGTGGAGTTATCCCCTGAATTATTCTGATAAGGGCCCATGCATTAATTATGTCACGCTAAATCGAGCAAAAGATTACCCCCCCCCATCGTGACGTCTTTCCTATACCTAATGCATTGCTTGTCACAAAATCTAAGACCCCCTCCCCCTTAGAGTGTGATATAATATATGCATCAACCCTAACTAGGGGAAAAAGGCTCTAATGTTGGCCTATGGATCTAAAATTGGGCGGTTACTTTGATTTTTGGTTTACTAATACAACCATACACCGAAAATAGTTTTCATGTAGCTTCCATTGGAAACACAAATGATTTTCATCCATAAACAAAATTAATGGAATTCATCTGAATTTCACATAACATTTATGGGATCACGTTAATTTTATATGATTTTTCATATGAATTTCATCGGCCTCATAATATTTATGTGATTTTGTGGTGGGATTTTTAGCTATGTGATCACATGAAAGCTATGTGAAGTTCACATGGTTTTCATCCATTAGATATGTGATAAATTTTTTGAGTGTATTTCACGATCTGCTTCACCTCTCTCTGTATCCATTCGTGTAGAGTAGAAATACTCAGAGGGAGAGATAGGCGAAGAAAATAAAATACAATTCGGCAGCAGGGATTTGTTCCTAAATTATCTTGCAACCCTTGGTAGAAGCTAGCATTTCAAATGACTTTTCAAGAGCCACATGTAAAAAGGGCATACAAGCTTTTTGTAAACAAACATTTGTAGGCCCTTTTCTCGCCAACCGAGGGTCGCTCACGCAAACTAACAACATCATCGGGAAGGGGAAACCTTCCCCTATCCGGCGATGTTGATAGTTTGCGTTGGTGTCATATGGGTGGCGAAAAAAGGGCATAAGAATGTTTGTTTACAAAAAGCTTGTTCGCCCTTTTCACATTTTGTTCTTTTTATATTTGATTCGATTTACGTGCAAAAGAATAATTGATTACATTTCAATATTTTGCACATTTCTAGGTGCCATTTATTAACCAACGAAGATCAATTAATCAATACACTAATAAAATTCCACACATTTTTATTGACGAATTTCCATGTGAAATTCCACATGATTTTCATGTGACCACACATAAACAGAATCCACCCAGAAGCACACATGAAATTTATGATTCAAATGAATAGTATGTGTGGTAACACATAGCTTTTATGTGTACACACACGGATAGAAATCTCCTTATACCTTTTGGCAAATTTCCATTGCTGATTATTCATAAGTTGTATAAGTCGACTAATAAGCAGACGCCTTGCAAAAAGTTAATAAAGATCATGTGTCAAATAAAATATATAAGCGGTCACACATACCTTTTATGCATTCTAATAGGACTTATGTGGTTTGTCTTATGGAATGTATAAGCACAAACGAAGTGACAGACGGAGCGGCTCGAAAACTTTGGTGACTAACCTGCTATTGCAATTTTTCAGTGTACCACATGGCAACACCACGACCACTGGATTGTACCACATGGCAACACTACTATTGGATTGAACTAGCATTTTCACCAAATGTACTAGAATATTTTGGTTCTATCTCTTTCACTCTACTCAAAACTGAAATGCATAAAAAAATGACAAAATGATACGCACTCTTTGCACACTGTCAAAGAATCATTGTACACAAAATCAACTTTGTTCAAATCAAAACAAAAAAAAAAAAAAAAAAACTAACCCATCTGGTGGATGATGGCACAAGCTTCCAAGAAAATTCTATTACAGTGAACCACATTATTTTAATGGATTTCTTCGCCAGTAAGTCGTCTGTCACTTCGTTTGTGGTATAAGGCTGATGCTTTGGCAAAAATGTATAAGTGAAACACATGAATTAAATAATTGATTTTCGTTTCGTGCATATTATGTATGTGTCCGACACATAAACATTATTTGTTGATCACATTGCAAAAATTCATGTGTGGGTCACATAAAAACAATCTTTGAAATTTTATCAGTGTAGAGTTAAACGCTGTCCAGACTGGAGAGTTATAACATGTTATAACGGTTGTCAACTAATTGCAACACAGAAACCACCATCAAGATAGCACTATAACATGTTATAACTCTGTAGTCTGAACGTACTATTAGAATATTGGTTTTGGTTCCAAAAACTAGTTGAATTTGAGAAGCACACAAAACATAAAGGTGATTGAATTTCTGTTCGATTGCAATACTCTCAAATTTATTCTAGTAAGAATAAGAAATCCTCGGAAAAATTCTAATTGGAATGTTCGATTGGTTCAGATTTTGACAGTTCATTTGGTTCAAAACATTCTCTCCGCCCATCTCTCCCTCTGAGTATTTCTAGTTTTGACAGATGGGATCGCTGCACATTTGAATAGGCCGTTGTGGATTCTCGATTAAGAGTTAAGTCAAAGATATCTAATTAACAAGATATCCCACTAATCAATTCCTCATACAAGGTATATAGTTACCACCCTTATGTGATCGCAGTGCTATCTGTTGAGTGCGCATTGAAACTGTTGGGAGCACCCCGCCAACTTTACCACCAGGGCTCAATAACTGATAGGTGTCTCAGCATGACAGATGTCAACGCGGACGTTGATGATCAGCCAAGGTCATCATCATTAAATTGCGATAGCAAGATTCTTACTTGTTTGTGATTGCTTCGATTTTCAATAATTACCACTTTATACGCAACAGAAACACTTGAGAAGACAATCACACATCCAAGCGCGCATCATGATGTGCTTGTAATATGTTTTGCTTTCGAGCGAAATAGTTTCCAATATACCACCGGTATCAGTCTAGTAATTGATGATTTGTGAAGCTGTTGTTCAACATAATCTTAATAAGCATAGAAGCACAAACGAAGTGACAGACGACTAACTGGCGAAGAAATCCATTTAAATAATGTGGTTCACTGTAATAGAATTTTCTTGGAAGCTTGTGCCATCATCCACCAGATGGGTTAGTTTTTTTGTTTTGATTTGAACAAAGTTGATTTTGTGTACAATGATTCAAAGAGTGCGTATCATTTTGTCATTTTTTTATGCATTTCAGTTTTGAGTAGAGTGAAAGAGATAGAACCAAAACATTCTAGTACATTTGGTGAAAATGCTAGTTCAATCTAGTAGTAGTGTTGCCATGTGGTACAATCCAGTAGTAGTGATGTTACCATGTGGTACACTGAAAAATTGCAATAGCAGGTTAGTCACCAAAGTTTTCGAGTCGCTCCGTCTGTCACTTCGTTTGTGATAGAAGTAAACATGGGAAAAACCTCTTCCATCTCTCTAAAGAATTATTCTACTGCCACTGGAAATGCAACGTATCTAAATCATTGCTAAACGTAATGAAATGTGCCGTCTTCTTTGGCCAACGCAGCACGCATTCCATTCAAAAATGACGTTGGAATAAACATTACTTTCCTATTTTTTAACGTATGAAGTATTTGACAACGCCGCTGAAAACAAACGCAAACGGGAGTAGCTGAAGCTGAATTGGCGTTGACGAGAGCTCTGTAACTCTTTACTCCTATGGAGAAATCTCATATGTAACTGTCAGTCTATGTGTGAAACATGGCGGACTTTTTCTTATTCTCTCACTCCAACGCAAAACCTCATAAGGAACTGTCAAAATGTGTGTGAAGAAACGTCACTTCGGGACTGGTGTCAAGGCGAATTGTGACGATGAGAGATGACACCGCTTCGTGTTTTGATTTGCGCTGTATCGTCCGCTCAGTTGGGTGGGTTTGTACATGTATAGATGTTGGTGTGCGTGTTTTCTTCCAACGCAGCAGTTCAACGTTGTCTCGTCACAAACCGTTTGGCGCTGTTATCTGTCTCTGTAAGTTCCAAAGAGTGAAGGGGGTCTGCACGGTGTTTCGCGAAAACCCATTAATGGGTATAAAAATACCCATTTCCGCTAAAAGTGCCCCTCCTCATTTAATGGGTAAACTATGGTTTACTCATAAATGGGTAAATGGGTGGTCTGTCAATAAATGGGTGTTTTTTCACCCATTTTCTTATATTGTGTTTACCGTAAAATGGGTGAAAAAATACCCATTTTTACAAATGGAGGATGCAAGCGATCGTTGATGTAAAAATGTTTTTAAAACATTGAAAATAAATGCAGGTGTTCCGCTCAAATTTTTCACGAAACATTATAATACAAGTTATCCATTGTATTGACTTATCCGTAAGCCTCTCCAACGTTTTGGATTCTAACATTTTCCGGAGATCGTTGCTGCGGACAGTAACTGTTTGCATCGAGGTTTGCATTCCCAATGAGCCGGTGACGGAAATGAGACGATAAAATTTCGAAGTGTTTTTTCACCCATTAATGGGTAAAAAATATACCCATTATTCAACCGTGAACTGATTCTTTAAATGGGTATTTTTTCACCCATTTTAGGATTTCAAAATTCCCCCATTTTTTGACAGCTGCATACATGGTTTGAAAATGGGTATTTTTTTACCCATTAATGGGTTTTCACGAAACACCGTGTGGTTAAGTTTAAGTTTCATATCGGTTTGTCGGTGCCACTAACCCAAATTTGAGTAAATCACATATAGTACACTCAGAAAATATTCAAATCTAAATAGTATAAAAGCTACGCTAAATCGCAACTCTCCCGACCGACGCATAGATCGGTATAAAATGAGAGAATACGTACTTAGTATAAAAATGGTTTATACACTGAAATGTATAAAGTCGCGATATTGATAGGATGTATACAAGCTGTTTATTGGTTTGGACGCGTTTTTATTTTTATTTTTGTCAAGTAACTGATTAAGAAAAAAAGTAAACAAATTACAATAAATATGTACAGAAGCGATACGAGTACCAGATGATCGAGAATGGTTATAATAAAGTGCTCGTTGAACTCCGACTCACAGTCAATAAACTGCGAACCATGGTGCTGATGATCTGTGTCCGACTGGCGAATTTCCACGTGACCGATGCGCTTGCAAGAGGGAAAATGTTTTGTTGAATTTTCAGTAATATTTTAAGCGAGATAAAAAAATTGTCACCTATTCAAATTTGTGCCCAGAGGTGTTATTATGTTATGTTTATTATTTGCCATCGGGAAGGCATTCAGTTATAACTCCTCCAACATATTTAGACGCGACTGATTGTTTCAAGCTCCTCGGTTTTTCCAACACGACTCACAGTTCCCTATGAATAATTAACACTTACTTCCGGATCCTTACCGTTTCTTGACTGCGACTGTGGGTGCCAGCGTGATTGATATTACGTGTGAAACTTCTCAATGTTTATATGCAATTTGGAAAACTCTAAACGAATTCAACGCCATTATTCAGATTTAGTATAATTTTGTAATCAAATTTTAATCCGATCAATGTATAAACATGCGTTAATCATGAAATGATTAAATTTAAATCATCAATTGTTTAGTAATATTTTTGAGTGTAGTTTTCATTAAACACCAGCAAAAAATACTTACTCGTAAGTATATTCTATCCAAAATTTAGTTTAATTTACATAAATTTGAGAATATGCAATTTATTCAAAAGTAACTTAATGGGCTATATCATTGGGTCGAATCTCTCGTTCTATATTAAATGCCAATCATTACCAACATAGGAAAAAAATCGGTAAGATCCTTCCTTTTATTTTATGATTCTTCAATATTGTACAAATATTTACACATTACACACAACTACACATAGTAACTCGGAGCGTTTGGTACGGTATGTCCACGCATCCTTCCACCCCTGTAGATTCAAGAAATGTTCCCATTCATTTCCAAGAATCATCTTTGCGGCAAATACAACGCAGTAGGCCAGGCCGTATTGATGTTTATATCATATCTCAGATATGCTGTAAACATCAATTAGACAATCATTTTCCAGGATACTTTCTCGTACTGATGGCTGCGTTTGTATTAGATTAGATTAGAATGTTGTTAATGTTACCATGTTGAATGCGAGCGTAGTCATTTTGACCAAATCATAGCACTATTGAGAAGATTATCGGTAGATTTGACTATGACGGAGACTACCCTTATAAAAATAATAACCATAAGAAAGAGCTTAACGAATTGTTCGGGGTGTCATCCAATCTATTTGTGGGATAGTTCGACCATACGGGTTACCGTTCGTTTATGGTATTTGTTTATTAGGGTATGACCTGGCATCAAATATATCATATTAACAATATGATCCATTCACGCCTTTTCCAAATGTTGCAATGGCGACCCGCAAAATATTGCTTCACGCACCATCTAGCGTTAAAAAAGGTCAGCAATAATCATTCAATTACAATCGAGGGGTCCGAATATAGCACTTATTACAAAAGTAAGAGTCAAATTATTTTCATAACTTATATTGTGTATATTACTTTAAATTTTGTCTGACATGTCACTGTTGTCATCAAATAAAATAAAACGCTGAAATACATTTATTTGAAAAATTTATATTAAACACAGAAAAAAAAGTTGTTGAATATTACATCCAAACTGCTGCAACCAGGTCAATCCATCGGTTGTGTAATATAACGTTGTACCACAAACGAAGTGACAGACGACTTACTGGCGAAGAAATCCATTAAAATAATGTGGTTAACTGTAATAGAATTTTCTTGGAAGCTTGTGCCATCATCCACCAGATGGGTTAGTTTTTTTGTTTTGATTTGAACAAAGTTGATTTTGTGTACAATGATTTTTTGACAGTGTGCAAAGAGTGCGTATCATTTTGTCATTTTTATGCATTTCAGTTTTGAGTAGAGTGAAAGAGATAGAACCATAGAGGTAACTCTAAGACAAGTAGGTCCCGAAGAAACGTGCTCAACTTTTTGGCTCACCTCTGGTACTATCTTCGGTCCCAAGCTTGTCAAATCACCCCTCGAAACATAGGTAAAACCAATAACCCCTCATTTTATCTGTCAAACTTTCATAGCGAATCAAAACAAACATTGCGTAGTACTAGAATTTCGACTATTATTATTATTTAACTTTATTAAGGAGGCTTTCAGCCTTGGGCTGGTTCGCCTCCAATGATTTCGACTAGAATAGGGTACGTTAATCGTTTGCTTGGGACCAATAGGCTACTAAAGTGGTGAGCCAATTTAAAATCGTTAGTTTCGTATTGATTGTTGATAGAACCAAAATATTCTAGTACATTTGGTGAAAATGCTAGTTCAATCCAATAGTAGTGTTGCCATGTGGTACAATCCAGTAGTAGTGGTGTTGCCATGTGGTACACTGAAAAATTGCAATAGAAGGTTAGTCACCAAAGTTTTCGAGCCGCTCCGTCTGTCACTTCGTTTGTGGTTGTACGATGTACATCGATTTTGCGAACAAAATTACATCCATTGGTGTAATATTGTATCTGCTTTTTGCTATTAAATCATTATTTCATACATCAGCTTGAATTACATTGATCGATATTACATTTTTTTTTGCTGTGCACAGAGGTGCTTTCATCGCTAAAAATTCGGTTCGCCAGCTAAGCGAAAAAGTGGATCATATTGTTAATATAATATATTTGCTGGCATGGTAAAAGCACACACGAAGTGACAGACGGAGCGGCTCGAAAACTTTGGTGACTAAGAACCAAAACATTCTAGTACCTTTGGTGAAAATGCTAGTTCAATCCAGTAGTAGCACAAACTAAGTGACAGACGGAGCGGCTCGAAAACATTGGTGACGAACCTGCTATTGCAATTTTCAGTATACCACATGGCAACACTATTGCTGGATTGTATCGCTTGGCAACACTAAATGTACTAGAATATTTTGGTTCTATCTCTTTCACTCAAAACTTAAATGCATAAAAAAATGACATATAATGTACACTCTTTGCACACTGTCAAAGAATCATTGTATACACAAAATCAACTTTGTGCAAAACCAAACCAAAACTACTATCCCATCTGGTGGATGATGGCACAAGCTTCTAAGAAAATTACAGCGAACCACATTATTTTAATTGATAATCACCCTAATAAAAAATAACCATAAACGAATGATAACCCAAATCATTGAACTATTCCACAAATGGTTTGGATGATACCCAGAACACGTCGTTAAGCAAATTAACCATACAATTTTTATTAGGGCAGTTAGTCGTCTCTGTCACTTCGTTTGTGGTACGTGCTACCATACAATTTTTATGAGTGTATTAGAAAATGCTTTACCGTTATGGTAAAACACTATCGGTAGGTGAGTTATTTTCTGTTACCGTATAGAAAGTGTTTGCATGCTGAATGTAAACAGTAATCATATTTTTGTTTTTAAATTTTATTGTTTTGATTTGATTATCAGGCAGGCAGATTTTTCTTATAGAAAGAATGTTGTAATTATTGTGCTTTATTTAGTCTATAATACATTTGGAATCTGCTTTGATAACTACAGAAAATAAAAGTTCTTCAACACGGTAAGTTTAATGCTCCTTGAAGGCTGAGTTGGTAGGCTATGTTCTGCTACTAGCGGCAGCCTATTTCGCATTTCCATCGACGAGAATACGAATTCCTTTCTGAAATGGAATGCCTTGGCATTTTACAAAGATCAATCTCGATTCATTTGTCCCCTTTGTAGATGTTGTTCATACAACCCAAGAAGCGCTGCCGATGAAACAGCTGCGTTCGTGGTAGTTTCTTGTATTTTATTCGGATTTTGGAATAGCGCGTTTTCTTGCCCAACTACTACCAGATCCGATGTTATTAATAGGTCTAGCTACTTGGTCTTTGGAACTTGAGATATAAAATTCCTGGTCGTCAATCTGCTCTTCAGACTTTTGTCAAGGCACTTCTCACGTGCAGTATACTCCACTTCTTAGTCTAACCACCTTCCGGTCGGATGCGAGGCAAACACCATTTAGTGTCCTTCCAGCTTTGGCGATTTTCTGGTTACTGGGTCCGCCGTATAGACTATCGCAATCTCGTGGTTCATCCTCCCAAATATTCAAAGCATGCGTCGTTCAAAAACTCCCAGTTTTCAGTGGCTGCAGATCCTCCTTGTCTACGCCTGGTGGTCGTATAGAGAACTACCGATCTTATCAGTATGCACCTTAAGGTACCATATTATTGACGCAGGTTTGCAAACTTGACGCACTTTTGTACTATGTTCACTATGGCGGATCGCAAGACCCTGCTCCCCACGAGCTCCCCACTGCTTTTCGACTGTATTGAGGTCCCCAACAACTGTGTCAAATTTGAACAAATTTGATTACGATCTGGGTTTACGATAGAAATTTAAAATTTATATGGGAAACGAAATAAAACGATTCAGTTATATGTCAAAAATTCAAAAATTGCTCAAAACCAAAATTAATATTGGAAAAACTATGAAATACAATTTTGTGGAAGATCGCAAATCGATTCGATTTATTATTTAAGTTATTATGTATATTTTACTTAACACCAGGCACGTATAAGCTAGTAGTTCTGCCGTTCAAAATATTCATTACGTTAGCTACTGTAATTATTGCATTCAAATTATTCGTGTTCAATTTTCGTACTTTTAAGATTATTCTTCAAGCAATTCTTTAAACGGGACAAATACATTGTATCAAATCTGCCAAATGTCTAAGCCAAGTTGCCTTGAGGGTCACCAGGGGGGCGAGTTGGAACTGCATCGAGAGATATGCGTGGTACGGTTGATGTTCCGGTGCGACATATGCTACGATGATTACGTGAGCAAGGAAGGCATTTGGAATCATCTGGACCTGCATGAGGTAAGACGAAATCAATGTTATAGTCGATCCATACCCCTATGTTGTTTTCATCAAAAGATTGCAGATGAAAGTAAGGAGTTGCACTATCAGGAAATAAAAGCTAAGGACAAATTGTATCAATGCGCACTCTGCAATGACCAACGTGCTTATTTGGAGAGTCTCTACTGGAAGCACGTGCAAGTGAGTGATGGGTTTAAATATTATTGATATAAAACAAATAATTGATTCCGATTACAGGACGTTCACGATGGCTTCTTCCTGCGGTGTCCTGAGTGTGGAGAAAGCTTCCGATCCGAAAAGCTCAAGCATGATCATGCCATCAGTCATTGTAAGACCAGGGATCAAACGGTAACATCGAACTGGAGTGACCTAGAAGCGGATCGCATAACATTTAAACGACGAAATCATCAAGATAATGACGAAGAACATCAAAAACGAGCCCAAACTAATGATATCAAAATGGAAAGAAAAGTAAAGGAATCAACGCTACTGTCACACGAAGGAAAATCATCCATAAATCCATCCACCAAAGTTGGTAAGTTTGTTACACTGAACAGAGTTTGCTTCATATATTTATTTAAAAAAAAAAAACATTTATTTTCTCTTAGATCCTCAATCAAGTGAACAGTCATTTGCCGACTTAGACTGTAATGATGCTACGGATAGTCACATAATCAACAAGGAGTGTAAGGTGATTCCTGTTGCTACTTTAAACAATAATTCTGAAGTACAAGTCCGGTCAGAGAACATTTCGCAAACATTTGCTGAACATCCGCCAAACCAGCCATATTTGTGCGACATTTGTGGAAGTACTTTGACCAGTTATTCCCAGGCCAAATATCATAAAGTTCGTTGATTGAAATTGACCTTCTAATTTTATCTTGGTAATATTGTTTTTTTTTTTTTATTATAGTTGAAAAAGCACACGGATGGAAAGCTCCAATGTCCTCATTGTTTTAGGATGTTTCACCTGAAAAATAAGTTTAAATTACATAAGTTAGCTTGCGCAGGAAGGAAAAATGCATGTGAATTGTGTGGTCGAAAGTTCAAAAACCCAATCGGTGTCAAACGGCACAAGCTACGATCCCATCATGGTAAGAGACCTTTAAAAAATGATAATAACGAAGGCAATGAGGAGCAAAATCAAAACAGTGCCGTGAAGATGGATTCTGATGAATCATCAGCGAATTGCAGTGTAGATAATTCAGCTTCGACACCAGTGAAGAGTTCCGTTGTACACGATTCTTTGAAAGCAGTACCGCAGATCTTGCAGCCACAGGACAATCCATCGAGCGGATTATCCAATATTAAGTGCTCTTACTGTACGAAGGAATTTGCTAATGGACTCTTCCTACGTCGTCACATCGAACATTGCCATGTACCATGCGTATGTAACATTTGTGATATTACTTTCGAAAGTTTTGTGAAAGCGCAGTATCATAAGGTTTGTTGATTGATATTTGCCTATCTGTTTTATATATTTATATTTAATGTCTTTTCCGTACAATACAGATTAAGTTGCACAAGGAACCGAAGCATAGATGTCCGCACTGCCCAAAAACATTCGAAAAGTCTATACGATATTCGCTGCATTTAGCCATTTGCAAGGAAAGGGAGTTTTCGTGTGATTTATGTAATCAAAAGTTCAAAACTTTAAAATATGTTAAAAAGCATAAACGTTTGTATCATCAAGATAAGAATGCGGTAAAGAAAGTGTCTAAGAAAACGACAAAGAAAGCATCAAAGAAAGCGTCAGAGAAAGCGGTCAACAAAACTAAAAATTGCCGTACAAATGGCAGTGAGAAACGAAAACGAAAGCAACCCAAGAGAGGTGCAGTCGAAAAATCACAAAACTCAAAACTAGCTGTCATAACTGATTGCCCGATTTGTGGGAAAACTTTCAGCAGTCAGCACGTAGTATCCCGACACGTTAAAGCAACTCATCAGATGACTATTTGCATAATTTGCCGAACGACGTTCTCCAGTGCAGATGAGCTGATGGACCATAAGGTTTGTATGGTGGTCTCAGTTGGGAAGTTTTTGCTTTTCGAAGCAGTATCTGAGTATTTTTTGTTTGTGTCAACAAAAATCGCATAAGCTTTGATCGTATCGTCCCGACTGGAAGTGACTAATCTTTTCTATTATTTTGGTCATTCCATTTGGTAGTCTCACCTTTGACCTTACGAAGAAAAAGGTCTCTCTCTTGTTGCCATGCTACTGCCCAAGCTACCGAAATTATGTTTTTAACCCAGGTTTTGGCATCTTGAAAGGGTACCTGTGTGATGAGTAGCTGCGAATCACGACCTAAGGCCGCAAGCTTATCTGCGCTTTCATTGCCCAGGATGCCGCAGTGTCCGGGAATAAAAACAAAAAGAGTGTTAGGTTTCACTGTCGCCCGGATCATTTGTACCCATGGGTGACGTATACGGTCCGTTTCAAGGGCTTTAAGGACACTCGCGGAGTCTGATAATATGGCAGTATAAGTTGCCTTTGCATTGGTCGCTGCTTGATGAATAGCGATGGCCTCAGCCGAGAAGACTGAGCACATGTTTGGTAGCCGCTGGTGTATCACAAGATCTCTTCCTGACACACCAACACCTACTCTGCCATTGGCCTTGGAACCATCGGTGTATATTAAATCATATCCAGCTAACGTCGTTGCTTTCATACGATTGAAAGTACTTATAACTCCAGCCTTACTTTCTCCGACTTTATAAGAACATTGAAAAGACCAGTTGACCTTCGGTTTGGAAGAGTCCCATCCTTGGCCTCCGATCCGGTCTAATTCAGCTACCGGTGGGAGTTCCTGATGAGCCAGTTTCTGAAGGAGTTTGTTAGCCTCCCTTAGGAGGAACACTCCCTTCTCATCTCCGTATGTCTTTTCCATGAAGCTCAAAGCTCTCGAGCAGGTGGTTATGGCCATGATGTAATGGAAAGGTAACACTCCAGCTTCGACACACGCTGACGACGCCGGCGTGGATGGTAGCAAACCAGAGACTATTATTATGCAGCGATTGTAGGTTGGTCCTAGTTTCTGCATCATCTCGTCTGAAGATCGGCAGGTGAGCTCTATACCGTATAACAGTCTGCTGGTTACGATGGCCGTGGAAACTCGGAGTGCAATATCGCGGTTATTGTGATTCCGAAGGTTCGTTATCAAGCGTAATAGGCGTATTCTTGATTGACAATCTTCTCGGACCGTGTTAAAATGTCTTATATGGCATTGTGTTGCCTTCGATTTTGATAGGGTTTGACTCCGCCCGGTGTCGGCTGTTACAGATGTGTGTAAAGTTACTCTTGCTCGGTGACAACTCAAAACCTACCGATTTGGCCCATCTGTTAACGGCATTGACAGCTGTTTGAAGTTTTCTCCAAAGTGAAACTGGTCTATGCCCGACAACAACGAGGACGATGTCGTCAGCATAAGCAAAGATGTATATATTTTTGGGAAGGTCCCCAAAGACTCTGTTCATAGACACTAGGAGCAGTGTTACTGCGTGAACAGAGCCCTGGGGGACTCCAGTCTCTTCCCTTGCGATGTTAGACCTATGATTCCCGATGCCGACTTGGAAGGTTCTGTTCTTGAGGAAATTCTGGACAAAGTGAAGTATGTGACCGGATAGGTCCCATTCAGATAATTGTTTTAAGACGAAGGGTGTCCATGTCCTGTTATAAGCTTTAGACAAGTCCAAAGCTGCTATGTCTACGTGCTATTGGGCTTGTAGGGCGGGAAGGGAAGCAAAGTAGGTTCCCGTTCCGTAACCTTTACGGAAGGCATGTTGTCGGCAATCCAACAGATTGTTGTCTTGAAGGAAGTCAGTAAGTCTGCGGTTGACCATACGTTCCAGAACTTTACAAGTGCAATTTGTCAATGAGATAGGCCGGTAGTCCTTTGGATCAGTCGAGGATGATCCATTCTTTGGTATGGGAACTACCAAGCTGTGTCTCCATTGCTTTGGGAAAACATCCTGGGTCCAGTTCTGGTTCAGAAGTGAAAGAAGGATCTGCTTGCCCCTGTGTGGTAGGTGTTTCAGCAATGGGTAACTTATTTCATCAAGGCCAGCAGATTTACCATTACTGTTCGCAAGGGCAAACCTTAACTCCAACATGGAGAAAGGTTGGTTGATCGGTAGAGAGGAGACGTCTTGTGGAATGGGAATATCTAATGACGTTAAGGAGGCAGCATTGCTTCTGATGAAAAGGCCAACATTGCTTAATAGAAATCAAGGAAACGGATACTTTGGACTTCTTTGCATTACTTTGAAGTCTCTAAAAACACAGACGCGATTCGTTTGTGTGTTGTTTGAATAATCATTATTTATTTCAGTTCAGTATCATAAGTAAGTTCCTTAATTCTAGTAGTTTTTCCTAGGTGGTGGGAGAATCTTGAAACAACCATTTACCAATTAACCAATCAAAGAAAAGCAAAAGATAAAGACAAATACCAATACGTGTACGCGACCGCGTCACTGGTATGTTCAAGCTATGCGCTATTGGAATAGGTCAGGAGTAAAAGGAAAGAATATAGGTAAGTGCATAGCGCATTGGGTGATTTCTTTGAAATTCGATGCCATGAGACCGTTTGTCGTTTGGTGCAACATGGGTAATAATTATGAGTCGACACTTTGGTGTCTGGGAACGCAAGTGCATTGGACTGATCGCAACACTTGATGAAATTTTGAATTTCGGCTCAATTTTGATTGAAGGCAGATAACATTAAAGAACCCAATTTGGTGCATTGGAACTTATTTAAATAAGTGCGATTACATTAGCACTAATCACCATCTTAGTGCCCATGGTGGGACTTTGTATGGGAGCGAGCTGTCAACTAATAAATTTAGTATCAACATAATTTGTTTTAAAAATTGAGATAAGAGTCTTGCTATCTGTTCCGACCTTTCATTGAACAAAGTTGAGCAAACGAGAAAATGGTTGCATTGATTCTATGTTTTGTCTCTTTCAGCGCACTTGTCCTAAGAACCCACCAGAGCTCTCCGATTCTCAATTCGGTACAAGGAGAATGTCACCACTAGGTGATAATATTGAAATAAAAATGGAAATCCAAGTAGAGGACACAATGCTGCAGGAACAAGAATACCAAGTTCCTAAAGATGACCAAGGGAAATCATCCATCACAACTTTGACCAAGGTTTGTATATTTTTGCTTTATTTTAATCACCTGTTATCAGATTTTTATTATTTAATTAATGTAGTTAACGGTTACAAGGAAGGGAGATACTTGATTAATGTCAAAATCTGATTCAAAGTTTCCGTGCATACATTGCAGAAACAAAATTAAAAAACAGCTTGAAAATTGAAATCTGTGTTTCATTTGGTGAATTTTCACTTAAATTTCAAATACACCTGCTATTCTACCAGACTTATTTCAACTATAAATCTTCTAGAATAGCAGGGTTATTTGACACTTGAAACATAAATTAAAATTTTCGAAAATCATTCAGTTGTTGATCGATCGATTTTCGAATCTGGTTGACTAGCAAAATTATTTGAAAAATATCAATCCGTCAAATTTAAGAGAAAATTCTCCAAGGGAAACACAGCCTAATACCCTGTTCACACTACAACCCCCCCCTATATTCTTGGGTGCAAACAATGTAAATATTTACCTTTTTTTTGGCAAAACCCAGGTAATCATGACGTTGATGATCGCAGTAGGCCGCGCTTGAAAGCTGACGTGTTTTTCTTTGCTGCGTATTTTTCGTCAGCGAATTAAACTTTTTTTCACTTGAATTTGTTGATTTGTGTGCTGAAATTTAGTTTCAAGTGTTCATAAAGTTATCATTTAGTGATATATCGTGTTTTTTTTCCTGTGTTGAGGTGTCCAGTTTTGAAGCCAAATCAGATTAAAAAAGAGAAGAATATATAGCAAGTGAAAAATAGAATCATGCAGTGACAAAAGAAAGAAGCAAGAAAAAAACGGTCCGTCTCGAGTGCTTCGGTTGACCTTGAATTTAACCTCCAAAATCTACGTCGCAGCTTTAGTTCAATTGTTTGGTGTCGGTTTAGTTGCCTCCCGGGAGCCCGGTTCTCCGAGTTCGGATGCCACACTTTCGGCGCGTAGTTCTATTGAGAGATTCGTCACCGCGGACGAGTTTTAATCCGGTCCGATTGGTGAATTAGCCCGGGCAAGTGCTGATAATATGTCCGTCGCGATTTTTGATGGTGATTCGGTGGCAGACGTTGCCGCTTGGAAAAGTGTTCGGCTGTTGGTCTCTTGACAATGTCGGAGATTGCGACTAATCTGCAAAATGCCTCGCTCAAGACTTGACGGGGTGTAACTGATGGTCGCGAACGGTTCCTAGGAACCGCACTAGACGCGACAGACAGACATGGCAGTGCAAGAAAATTTGTGTTCGGAACTACGTAACCCATGGGTGGGGGGATCAAATTAACATGGTGAGACCAGTCCAAATACCTTTTACAATATAAAAAACCTAAACTAAATACGTGCCAGGATTCAAAAGAACATTTTGAAGCTGGAACTGTGCGTGTTATACTAATATTTAATTGATAGAGGTAATACCTAGGGGTAGGTCACTCCGCACACCAATCTTGGATCATCTTTTTTGTCGGTGTGCCGCAACTGTGACGATTGTGCCGGACATAGAGCAAGCTGCGATTGTTTGTAAAATACCCATCCCGGCAACCCGGTATTTCTGACACCTGGAATGTTTTGGTTTGAAATCGCATGGATAAATCGGATTGAGGATGACGCGGGAAATGGCGGGTGTGTGAAATATCGGTGTTTTGTAATCCATATGCCGTGGATTCACTTGTATGACCTACTATACCCTACTATGAGCATGAGCATTATTTGTATTATAATTATAAGCACTATAAAACAACTATACACAAACTATAAAAGTGTGACCATGGATGTGCTCATAATTTATTATACAAATAATGCTCATGCTCAAAGTTTGTCATCCAAGTGTATCCGCGGCAATAGGATAATAAAAGTTCTGTGTTTTAGTGTTTTATAATGCCCTCAAAGGCAGACCAGAAACCTAGCCTTTAGGCCGGAAAGAGTCGGAACCGGTGGGGAGCATTGTTGAAGACCGACTGTACAGGATTGAGAATAGACTTCTTTAGTTTGTTTTGTGTGAGTTGCAGCATTATTTGAATTAAGGGTACTAATGAGGTCTGATTAACTGCTTCTTCCTCTTGAGTCCACTCTAGAACCTACATTTCGTATTTAGATCTATAAGTGAACTGTTGGTCTGAGTTCCTCTGGTATATTCAATTAGAAGATGTCCCTGAACATACAGTCAAACAGCACGTAATGTTCTGAACAACTTCAATGACAGTTGTCCAGCAGTGCTCCCATTTCCTTTACAACAATCTAATGCCTACGAGATTGTGCCGAAGGTATGCCGAAAATGTGCCGATGGATGTGCCCAAGTTGTGAAGAATATTATTCCGGCACAATGAGCTGAGTGACTTACCCCTTGGGTAATACATACATGCGGGGCTTATTGTAAGTGAAAGTAATCTCGGAATGGGCGTGACTCTCCAGACATTCTGAAATGGGTTGCTGGATCTGCAATAGAGCTATCAGCGTCTAACTCCCGGACTAAAGCTGTCTAAAATGACCATAAATGCGACATAGTAGAGGGAGTTCTTCCATAATAACACTGCCGGCCAGTGGGGGAATACACACACACACACAACCCAGGTAATCATGACGTTTGATTATTGAAAACAATATGAATGAAGAAAAGAGACCAACTGCTGTCATGATTACCTGAGATTTGTCAAATAATGTAAATATTTACATCGATTGCATCGCAGAATTATGTGATATAGTCTATCTCGATCAGAGTTGCAAGATTGTTTTAAAGCATATCGGTATCAAAGGTATTAAAAAATCAATATTCATCGGTATTTACTATTTAATTAATTTTATATTTGTGCCGTTTTTAAAGCGAAAATTTTAACGATGGTGACGACTGAGACTTGAGGGGAATTGCTTTGTTTAACGGCTTTCTCAGTCTTAAAACAGCCTTTTATTTTTAAAGTTATCGCTGTCCTCAAGTGGTGATCAAAATTGTGAGAAAGTAGTTTTATTTTTCAATTATATATCATTAAATGAAACCAAAATATGGAAAATCATCCACAACAACGACTAAACTATTGACCATTACGACAAACAATATTTTCCCTTGAAAAAAGCCACAACCCATGGCCGAAATGTCGAGCAGATTATATCGTAGTCGTAGCAGTGTTTTAAGACTGAGAAAGCCGTTAATCAAAGCAAAATTTTAGCTTTTGTACAATGATCGGAAAATTCTGGAAGAAAACTCCGGGAATGTTTGAATTAGCTTCTGAACGAAGCCGAAAAAACATCCAGAGAAAGACGAAAGAAGCTCTCCTGGATGAAGTTCGAGGAAAATTCTAAGAAAAGTTGGAAAAACATCCGGGAAACTTCCAAGACACGAATTGAGAAACATGTGGCGAAAATTTGAATAAACTATCGGAAAAAAAATTGGATGTCACATTTAAAGGAAGCCAGAAAAGTTTCGGAAACCGGAAGTAAATTTTCAGAAGTAGCCATTTCCAGGGAAAGCCAGAAGAAGCTCGGAAAAACCTTCCAATAGAAATCGAAAAAAAAAACCGTTGGCTTATGGTCGAATTTTACAGAAGAAGACGAAAGAAATTTCTGGGAGAATTAATTGAACTTCCTGGAGAAGACGAAAGAAACTTCCTGGAGACGCTGGCATAAACTTCCTAAGGTAGATTGAAAGAAACAGCTGAAGAAAGTCGGAAGCCAGAGCGCTTACGGAACAGTCGAAAAAAACTAGGACATAATTCCGAAAGAAAGAGATTCCTGGGGGATGTTCTATGGTCCAGACAATTTTCCTGATATTCATAAAACATCCCAGAAAACTCCGCAATTCCATAAATTCCTCGAAATTCCTTCAAAGTTCTTGTAATTTTCTTGAAATTAGGGGCTGTTTAGGAGTTATCTCTCGGAACTTCCCTGGTTATAATAAGACTACCGGAATATCTCTAATCATCTTTGAAGGTCTCTGGACTTTCTTGAAGGTTACTAAATCTATTAGGTGCTCTCACAATTTTCTTGAATTTATTGTAACATCAGCATTGAAGTTCTCTGATCTTCCCATTTTTTTTAATTTTTAAAAGTTATGGACACTGCTAAAAAAGCAATGAACTTCCCATAAAATGTTCTCACAATGTTCTAATGTTCTTGTAACTTCCCTTACGTTTCCTAAATTTGCATGAGCTTCTCAGGACATTGCTGAAGTTTTCGGAAATTGCCTGAGTTTCTCGGAACTCCTTTATAATTTCAGCAATTTAATTAATTCATTGATCTGTCCTGATATTCTCTGAGCTTCACTAAAGTTCCCGAAAACCATTCAATTTCCCTGAAGTTCTTTGGACTTGTGAAGTTTCCAAGATATGTATGATGTTTCCTCAAGTTCACTGAAGTTCGCTGGACTTTTCTGAAATTCCCGGATTTCAGAATTTTAACAGAAGTAAATGAAACTGTCTTTAATTTATCGAAAGTTACACAAAAGTCTGAACTTTTGGTAAGTTTCAGAACTTCTTAAATGTGCCTGCAGCTAGTGTTTTGGGCTACAAAATGGTGAGTTGACAACCTGGAAGGAGCGGAATACCTAGCCCTGGTCCTCACAAGTTCCTTCTTCACGCCTCCTCGAGTCATATGATAACAAAAGACTACCAGCTGAAACATGGACACAGCTGGTTGGCGTAGCCTGGGCAATGTTGCCAGTCCGGCAATAGCAAAGTGAAGAGGTGCGACGCGAACACTGGCGCGGTAACCATAGTACGGTGATAGAGGAAATGCTTCACCAAACCCGAGCGTCTGCTCACCATGGAGGTGCGGCTAAAAACGGCGTCTGTTCTCCATGTTAGGAGCGGCTGATCACCGTCCTAGTGCCAGCGTGGGACTCTAAACAGAGCTGTGCACGATGGTCCCCCGGCGAGACAGGGGGTTGGGGCAGGCCCAACAAGCCGCCCTGGAAAAAAACAAAGTTGCAAATACCGAAGAAAGAAATACGGATCGGAACAATCGGCACAGACCTACGCGACGAAATAAGGACTACGATTGGAAACTCGGAACATGGAACTGCAAATCGCTCGGCT